GAGATAAATAATTATTAAATTGCTATACGTAAAATGTAGTGAAACCATTTCAGACTTACTTGAGCGTTTTGGAGACCCGTGTTTGTCATCAATATACTTGGTATTGGATTATCCAACGCCAAGGCAATAAAACGGCCCTATATATAGAACCATGATTTACATTAACTAGCAGTATATAATTTTTGTTATACGTAATGCATACTTTGTGACGGAGTCTTTTGTTGTGCCGCAAAAATGGATACATGGCCGCATGTGACCCAATATAACATGACTTGGGATGATATGCTACTTTTTCCATGAAGCAGTCAACGTTGTCCAATGGAACGACTCTCTCATCCGCTAAAATGTAGTCCATGTTGTACCTCCGGGATATCCGAACATGGTGATGGATACTGGGCGATGTCGCAAGACGCTTAGTATGTTCCCACTCATATTTCCATTCAGGTCGATCACAATTTGACAATTATCGGTTTGAATTTTTTTGCCCCTTGCCTTGTCATCCCATATCTACGTACCACAATAAGTCAATTAGCACAAACAAACCTATAGGTTGCTCTGAAATTACGTACGAAAACCTACCGGTGGAATAGATTCGAACTCGTCACTTCCTTGTTGAACATACCTGTGCAAGTGAATCTCACCTCACTCAACTTCACTCATTTCCACCTCGAGCCAAATTGCCCTTCACTCCCCTCATTCGCGTGAAGGAAGGCTGAGTGAGGCTTCACTCACTGATTAATCCCATTCTCACTCCTTCACTCCCTCACTCCTTATATTTCACTCATTCCCCTCACTCAGCTATTTTCCTCACTCTTTCTTTCAGTCCCTCGAGTCATCATAATTAAAGTATTTTGGCGCCATCTAGTGGGGTAACGTGAGACTGGAGTGGGGCAATGTGAGATTCGACTGGGGCAATGTGAGACTGGGCTGGGGGTAATGTGAGACTGGGTTGGGGTAACGTGACACTGAGTTGGAGCAGCGTGAGATTGGACTGGGGCAGGTGAAAATTGCATGGGGTAATATGAGACCGTACTATGTTAATATTGCGACGCTTATTTGAGTACGTAAACTAATTATCTACCCTATATTCCTTCACCCGGAGGAGAAGGAGTGAGAGAGATGAAGGAGATGAAGCCTTCATCTCATTCACCCTTCATTCCACTCATTTCTCATTTGGGCCTCCCTCACTCACCTTCACTCATTCGATCAAACTTTTCAACTCCCTCACTCAGCTTCACTCTCCTTCACTCCCTCATCGTGAATGAAGCTTCAATTTGCAAAAATTGAGTGAAGCTGCACAGGTATGTTGTTGAATAATGTTTCTGAATTGTCATCATCCCCATCCAAATCAACAGGATGACCAGAATCATAACAAACCACTTTGAAGTCCTTTCTGCTGTGTGACCCTGGTACGCTCATCATGAGATGCGAGAGGGCGTGATTTAAAAAAATGAGATCCTACGTATCCCATGCATATTTTGTCCGATTGAAATTCTTTTGGATTGAACTTTTTCCGTGTAGTCACCCATATTTGTGAAAAAGTAAATGTGGCATAAGAATATTGCCCCAGTTTCGATTATGTATGCCATTTAATCTTACCTTTGTTCCATAAAGAAAAGATCCAAGAACTTGAAGTTGTTACACTCAAACGGAGTGAAATCTGCATGAAAAGGCAGAAATTAATCCCAGCCTTCAACATCCCGTCCTTTTAGGTTGCGTCGACTCAAATCGCGGATGACCAATGATTTCTGGAAAGTACAATATGGTTAGGTTATCTGGGTGGCCGCCTTGTGTATCACAGTTTCACAGTTTCGTTATCACATGGCGAAGCTAAGTACTCCTTAAGTTTAACGAATACCAAAGCTTGGAAGTAGGCGTCGGATTTCTCTAAGCTCTGCTCTAAGCTCAGATTGTCGTAGTCGAAATGATCGCTGTCTACTAAAGCGTGTGCTTTACTTAACCTTTTTAAAACAGCTTCGTCGTAATTATAACCCGTCTCCATTGTGGTGTGAATGCACGAAGCTGGCATACCTGATGGGCACAGAAATAAAGTTTCAAAGTTAGAACAGAAGAACATTAATAACTGCATTATGCTGTACATCAAAGATTGTTACCAGAATTAGTAGTCCGTGCTGAAAATATTTAACCTTATCTGGATCAACTTGTTGCGCTACCTTGGCGTGAAAACATATGTCCTAATCATAAAACGGTGCTTGCTGTAGTCGATGGTTGAAATTGATTAAGTTCGGACAGTAAATGGTGACGGGTGAATATTATTTTAATTTTTCCTTAGTGCAAAGAAATTTTTATTTTCTCTGCACGCGAAGTCACCAACAAGTTTATTGTGAATCTTTCCCTATCTGCACTTTATAAACAATGCTCAGCGCGCCATCTTTGTTTGTGTATGTAAACTTGGCTGATTGAGCCTTTGTCTTTCCACTATGTAACACTATTTTGTGATTTGTCTAATAGATACATACATGCACTAATTATACTTGTTCGTGAATTGTCAACATTCGTTAAAAGAATTAACACTTTATTGTCGTCGGAACGTCACATAACATTGTTTCATTAACTGATGTAGCTTAATAAGTGTGCAGTATAATTACCAATTACATGGGTAATTATAACACGCTGCACACTGAGTCAGTGTGCAGTGTAATTGGTAATTAAGGCACACACTGAGTCAGTGTGCGCCATAATTGGTAATTACAGCACACACTGAGTCAGTGTGCAGTGTAATATGCATTGAAATTTGTCATTAAGCTGCACGCTGAGTCAGTGTGCAGTGTAATTGGCAATTAAAGCACACACTGAGTCAGTGTGCGCCATAATTGATAATTACAGCACACACTGATTCAGTGTGCAGTGTAATTGGTAATTTCAATGCATATTAAGGCGCACACTGACTCAGTGTGTGGCGTAAGCTCATTCCATAGCCATTGGCCTTTTAATTATTTTCCTCAAATATAGCAGGGACCGTTGGCGTAGATACGGGGGTAGGATTTAAGTTTGTATTTTTTTGGACGGGTCGTGATTTTTATTTCTCCTGTGCAAAAGACGATACAACTAATTTGACTCGAAACTACTTCAAAATTTAACGTTCCGGATGAAAATGTCCAGATTAGTGGTCGCTGCATCAAGCTTTGGTGTCGTCGGCGCGACAATTGGGGCAAGTGTGACAATGATCGTCAACTCTGGCAACAAGCTGCCTTCCCAGCTTTCAAACTCCTCTCAGACGATGACACGGTCGTCGATTGTGCAAGGAGCTGCAGTGCGCGACAGGGTCGACCGATTCAGTCTGAAACATTTATTGGAGGCGGTTACACATACCTCTAAGGATCGGGCCTATCTCTACACGCGAGCAAAATGGAATGATGCCCTCAGGACGTATCTGGACCTCAAACCCGCTGGGCAATCAGTGAGCTTCCCTGATCCCTCCCAACCATCATATGGGCAAACTAAACGTGTTTCAATTATATTGGATCACTCGACCGGATTCAACAGTCTGTTGGGCAGAAAAAATTTAAATATTCGAGGTCGAAGTATTCAAATTTTCTTGCGCGCCAAAATATTCGGACCGAAAACCGGCGGTCCGGTCCGGTCCTTGAAAAGCTGATCCGAAACTAGACCGAAACTTTCGGTCCGGATTTTGCGGATGGCCCAATCCGGGACCGAACCGTCGGATTTCGGACAGGTCCGGGCCAACCCGAAGCCCATTGAGAACACTAGGTACTTGTATGCTAGGATACGTAGTATTCTAACTATAGAAGGTTTTTTAAACATCCTGAAATTTTTTAACATACATACTGTTGAAAATAGTTTTTAGGATAAAAAATGCTTTTGTCTAATTTTATGACATTCTAGAAAGTTCTATTTAGGTCATGGAAATTTGTTATGTCTTTATGATTTTCCAGCAATAACTTTTCTTTGAATTTGATGTTTTGAATTTTGACTGGACAAGATTTTATTACTTAAATTGAGGCCATTTCCTGCTCATGCCTTTTTCCAGGTAGATTGTCCAGACATTAGTTTTCAGGTAGAAACCTTTAGCATTAAGTACATTCATGTATAAAAGCAAAAACCTCTGCGTAATAAATTGACACTCTTATTTTCACTTTGCACAAAAGTCGTCGTCACTCTGTCTTTCCTTTCAACGATCCGAAAATACATACCTCTGACACATACTGTGGACAATTGTTAGATGATAATGAGGGTTTTCACGTCACCTTCGTAACTGTCGTAAATAGCGTAAATTTACGACATCTACGAAAATTCCATGCTTACGAAGCTTCGTAAATATACGCAAGGTTGAGGCATCTTTTTCTTTCGTAAAAAAATTTTGTAAGCATAAAAAATCATGATATTTCGAACACCATAGTTACCGATGATATTAGGCAAGGAAAAATTAAAAATAATTTTTGCGAAATATTTTTTACGAAGGGTCTTTCACGTCAACCCGTCGTAAATGACGTAAATTTACGAATATTTTTTTACGAATCCACAGTTACGAAGGTCGTGAAAACCCTCAGTAGCATTACATACATGATTTCATATATCATATTATGCAAATAACTAATTCATTGTTCAGGAATTATTGTTGTCAACGCCAGTAATTTTCTCTTTCCAGAATCAAAATTTGCTTAATTATTTTATTAGGTGGTACATTCCGGAAAACTGTAAAGTATTTGTTTGGAAATTTAAAAACTGAATGAAAAAAAATGTGAACGGGTAAAAATGCTTGCGAATTATAGCCGTCGAACAGTTACAAAAGCTTATAAAAACCTAGAAGAACATCAGAATATTTGAGGGTGGGCATTTGCATTGACATTTGAGCAATGCCAACCCAGGCCTAAGGGGCCCTAAGCCGTGGCTGCGCCTATGAGAGTGAAGGTTCATGATTTTTAAGACTTTTCTGTATGGTTTAGATTACAGGTACAGTCTCATGATGAGACTCTCATTCTCATCTCAACATGAGACGAACGCGTTCGTCTCATGTTGAGATGAGAGACGTTCGCTTGGCACGAACTCGATGTCTCATCATCTGGACAGTTTTTATTTCCTTCACTCTAATAACTAACAAATAAAATTTGAAATTGGGTAGTTTTCGAAATAAATTTGGTTTTGGGTTCGTGACTTTGTGCATCAAGATAACCACCACCAAGGTAACCACCCACCAAGATAACATAGTTGAACAACGGTACGCTATTTTGTACATATTAATTGATCTGAATAATTTACAAGTTAGAAAATATATGAATACCGATATAATTTGTATTTCCATTCCAATTTTCAGAAATATATCAGTAATATATTTTTTTTGCCCTTTTAGATTCGACATGGCGAGCAATTTGTGCCTCCTCTGTTTACAACGAGTCGTCGCCGACACGGGAGAACAAAGTGATGGGGAAAAATACAAAAGGAAAATAAAAATCGCCACATTATGCGAATTGTTAGCTCCAACTTCTTCTTATCATGGTCAGTTTGATGACGATGAGGTATGTGGATTCTGTCAGGACTGTTATCCAGTTTTCGGTGAAGTAGAGGAGATTCGCAAACAAATTTCCATCCTGGAGGGTCAAGTCGAACGGAAAATTGTGCAAATTAAGGAAACAATTTCGATTTCTTCGCCTCCTTTGCTGGATGGTAGTGGGGACAGAATAATGGAAATTAGGAATTTTATACTACGAGTGACGCATGGTGCAGGTGAGATTAATATCGTTACATTTGGGTAATTAAAATTTGCATAATTTTAAATACGTATGTTTATAAAATTAGCAGAGATTATCGACCACCATCCCGATAATCTTGTACAGAATGTGTTTCTGGTGAAAGAAGAACATGAAATTGATCTTGGCGACGGCGACCAATTCTACGACGACTATAATTACGAACCTGCTCACTCAGAAGAGGACAATAATGATCCACTTATTGGTGACCACGAAGATGATGATTCAGACTTTTGCATAACTCCATCTTCGCAAAAAAGATCAAAGAAAGAGGGTCGAAAGTTAATTAAAAAGAAATCGTCATCATCATCCCGGTAATACAAATAATCATGTCGTCACTTCTTGGCGATTTGGCGACATATTGGCGAAAGAAAAGCTGCGATTTGTTAATTTGTTGTATTTAGAAATCAATATGCATACTTTATTAATTTGCAGCTCTACAAAAAGGAAATCGGTCCCCGCCCCGGAAGTGAACCCGAAACGTATAAAACGCGAGCCTCGACCAGTCCTCGAACGGATACGATCCTCCACTCGAGTCAAGAAGCCTGTTCTTCCTCCTCCCATCGAAGTTAAGAAAATCCTCAAAGTTTCCCTCGAAAGGCTCGCCCCCATTAAAAAACCCAAAAAACCACGCCCCTACAAATGCACCTTTTGTCCCGCTACATACCCCGTCTCTTTCGCCCTTACTCGTCACTTAGGACTGGCTCATTCCGCGATCCCTTGTCCGATTTGTGATGAAACGTTCCCCACCAGAAACGAGAAGGACGCCCACTTGAAGCTAGCGCACGATAATATCTCCCCTTACCAATGTCCCATCTGCGCCAGAAAGTTTATGCGACCAATTCGACTAGCAGAACACATGCTCTTGAGACATGAAAACGGAGATAAGAAATATTCTTGCGCAAAATGTGATAAGAGTTTCGCACTCGAACAAAATTATGAGAGACATGTGAAACTTCATGAGCTGGATGAAATCAAACCGTTCATCTGCGACGTGTGCGACCACAGATGTGAAAACGAGGAACGGCTCAAGATACACGTGGCCACGCATGAAAAAAGATTTCAATGTAACCAATGCGGAAAAAAATGTGTTACCAGGCATAACTTTGCAAGGTGATGATTTTCATGGAAATCTTGGAGATACATAAGTATTTACATATTTACAATTTTTCCAGACATATGCGCTCCCACACGAACGAAATGCCGTTGAAATGTCCCCACTGCGAGGTCCCGTTTCGCGACAAGATAACCCTGGAGCGCCACATCAGCCGGGTTCACACCAAAAACCAACACATTTGTCACCTCTGCGGTAAAGGGTTTTATCTTCGTGTCGACCTCCAAACCCATATTGCCAGGCACGAGGGGAAAATGCAAGTTAGTTGTGAAACTTGTGGGGAAACGGTGGTGGGTAAGGCTGCTCTTCAAGTACATCAGGTCAAAGTACACGGCGCGGACCCGGTCGTTTGCGATGAGTGGTAAAAAAATGTTTGAAATATGGAGAATTATAATATAATTTTAATTAATTACAACATTAATTTATTCTTTAGTGGGGCTGTGTTTTACGCACAATCAAACTTAAATCGTCACAAGCAGACCCACACGGGGATTAAGCCGTTCAAATGTGATGTAAGATTCCACAAATTAATTGCATATTAAATATTTAGTTGTTAATTGTGTGGCACAATTATTTTGCTTTAATAACGCCACATTTAATTCGTATTTTTCAACTAATTTAATGACTTATACTTTTACAGGTTTGCGACGCTTGTTTCCTGCGGGAACCGTCGCTAAGGGTACATTTGAGGTCACACTCGAACGAGCGCCCCTTCTCCTGCTCCCATTGCGAGAAAGCGTTCAAAACGAGGAGCCAAATGAATGAGCACGTGAAGCGAATCCATACCAACTTTGTGATCCCCACGCCTCACAAGTGCCCCCATTGCGGAAAAGCCTATCCACGTAAGTCTTATCTGGAGGGTCACATTCGTTCCGCCCACACGGGTGAGAGACCCTTCGTTTGTGAAGAGTGTGGAAGTGGCTTCGTGCTCAAGACAATGTTAAATCAGCATCTGAAAGTGTCGCATGGATTGGGAGTGACGACCGAGAAGAAAGAAAGGCTCCCCAGGGCGAAGAGAGGCGACACGGTGGAAATTACTGGGCACGATTCGGAGTGAAGTTTTAGCTGAATTTTGATAATTTTTATATCTATCAGATTAAATATGCGTAGGAAGATAATTTAAAAAATTGTAATTGAGGCTTGTAGTAAAGTTTAGTAGTTAAAATTAGCACTGATGTACACGACTAATTTACAACACGTTTGAATAAGGATCATTTATTTACTGTTGCAATGTGAATTTATATATGAATGTTTGTGTAATTAATTTAAACCCTAATTTGTAACAAATTAAATAAACCCTTGCAACGATTGTAACCAAGGGGTGGGTGTCGTACTCGTACATACCTACGTCACAATGAGTATTATATTGCTGCTAGTCTTTGATATTATTCACATATTTATGTACCAGATATATAGGTATGTACGTATGTAGATGCGTATGTACATATATATATATATATACTTATCTCCATACAATTGCGACCAATACTTGATTACATCAATCGCATGTATGTAATAAATATGTGTATATGACTTTCTGTAGGTGACCTGACAATAATTATGTTCGTGTGTATGTACATATGTACATATTTGCGTTTGTCGGTGGTGTTGCACTACTTTAATGAATTGTTAAACCACGCTCATTCAAGTTCTTTATTGCCATTCTAACAACGATGTCTTAAATCTAGCACTGTCGCCGTAGCCTATTGATCTTTATCCGCATTTGGCATAGTTTTATTTCCTTTGTCATCCTTCGCGTCGACCAAATATCTTCGAGAGACCTCCACAAATCCAAACTTTTCTCCAATCCGGCGCGACGCAGGGTTCGTAAATGCCGCTTGCACAACTTGATAACCCATCTCGCTTATCCAACTAATCGCTCTGCGGAGTAATTCAGTTCCTAACCCATGGCCAGTAAAATCTTGGGAAACACTGAGAATAAATATATCTGCGTAGGTGTCGACCCCGTATCGGTTGTACATATCGACCGAGCCCTCCAGCTCGACAAGGAAAGGGGTCACCTTACTCGTCATGGGGGACAGGGCTGGGGGTAAATTCCAATCCTTATCTTTTGGGCAGGCAGCAATTATCATGACACCAGCGATCTAAATGCATAAAATTATTTCACCAAGGTATTAATTATTCCTCCGTATCATTAAAACGAGGGGTCAAGCTTCGTACAAATCATGATCTTCGTAACGTGATTTTCGATGACAGAATCTCCGTAACCGTCATAACTTATTTTACGGTGCGAAAAATTCTAAGGATGCGAAAGGATAATGAATATGCCTTCATTATGTGAGTGGTGGACTATAAATTATCAGTTAATTACAAGAGGACTAAAGTAATCTATACTTGTAGAAAACTGGTATTAAATCATTACCGAGCGGAATACATAGATATGTACATGAGTGACTCCATCGGCATGACAATAACGAGCATTACGCTTCAGAAATGTTGTGGTAATGGAAAACTTGTTTATCATTCACAGAAAGCTACACCAGTCTGGTATAAAGTTATTACCAAGTTTATACCAGTACAGTGTTTATGTGAGGTTACCAGATTTTTTAACAGTGTACGTAATTTTCCATTGCATGCAAAACTAACCTTTCCACTCTCCTGGTCCACCGCCATAAAAGTTTTTCCGTCCTTTAATCGTGGCAGGATTCGATTGTCGAGATCAGTCACCCTGTCCTTCGTCATGTTTCCCATGATACCTTTTATGGGTTCATCCTTGTAAAAAGTTTCTTTCAAAAATAGCAGCACTTGGGAAAAATGGGTTTCCTGAACGAGTTGGAAATTGAAGTTTTTCCACATCCCGAAAACAGTAAAGGGTTGCATGGTAAAAATAAATATGTTAATTTTGACGAATTTATTAAGTGTTTAAGAGGCGAAGATTATAATCGGACTGGAAATAGTTTTTCTTACTGATATTTGCAAAATGTTCCAGTGCTAAATGATGAAATCATGCAAAATGTTGACACATATTCTATTTACGTGCTGATAAGCGGACACCAAACCAGTCAGTGCTCAAGACAACCTTCACTTGCAACACGGTGGACATAATTATTAATGAGCAACTTTATAAATGAATTGATTAAACCGTGTCGTGTAACATTGCGAAGTTAAGAATCTGCACAAATATGATGGGTATCTAAATAATTTAGTCATTGTGAAGAATTAATTAAAATTGTCATTCAAATTGTACCTTAACTGGTAAAAACCTGCAAAATTAAGGCTTTGCAAGTTTTTGATAAGTGATAAGAGTGACAAAATAATTTCAAATATTTCAAAACAAATATTTCAGAGTGTACTCTGAAATTATAAGTAATTTGCATGCATATGTACATATGGATGACATCACACAATTTTTTTTCAATTCTGAAATTGAAGTAAATAGGCTCAGGATATGAAATCTCTTCATCCTCAAATTGAAATTATCGCATGATAAAAGTTGATTAATGCAGTTAAGTATTTACATGGATGATACATACGTATATTTATGTATCATTTTTATACGTGTGTAAAAGAGATGATGAGATGAGCACGATTTTGTGAAGTCCATTATCCGGGCATCTCTGTGCGTCGATGTTTCGCGAGTCTGAATGTTCACTGTAGTACAATACGGTATGTACATATGTACGTATGTCTGTACCATTACTCTGATTTTGCTTGCTGACCGACCGAAATTGAGTTCGGTAAATAATAAAATCAAGTTGTCAAATTTGATTGATTGATGTGCTTTTATTTTACATACATAATCATTACTAAGTACTTAAATACTGCAAAATTTACAGTATATTTCTCGGAAAATCAACCAACTACTATCATAGAAGCGTAGTGAGCAACTAAACCTGATTTTTTTGCCTGGGCCATTGCGTGCAAAAAGATCCCTGTCCAACTATTTTGCATGCATGTACCCGGGTTCATTTCAGAGTATTATATATGTAAAGCAGTGGAAGGCAGCGTAATCATCAACTTTATAAGATCTACAAGGCAAAAATTAATAACAGTTCATCAACACATAAGTCTTTGCTATTACGAATAATGTACATATGCAAAACTGTTAAATCTGCCAGTTCCATTTTCTGCTTTTCACAGTCAATTTATCAGCTAGCAATCGATCCCAAATGTAAAATGCATTATTTCCTTATCCAAATTTCGATTGAATTGTGAAGACGTAAACCATGAAAACTCTGCTAAATTTTGACACTACAACGTGCATGGTTTTGTGCATTTTCCTCCTCCAATTTACACCCCATTGTAAATGTTCCCGTAAAAATAAAAAACCCACCTCTCCACCAATACTTGACGTGCAAACGACCAGTGAACCAGAAGAAATTGTATCTGAGGCGACCCCCATCCTAGAAAAAATAAGCAAAGTGTCTCTTACAAATCCAGACAGTGTCACATTGCGTCTATTTCGTGGCATCAGTTCGGAAAAAGTGGAAAATTCAAACCCAGACGATAATGGAAAATCTAAAAAGTTCTTTTATCGAGCATTAGCCCGTGAGGTAATTATATTCCTGATTTCTAGATATTTTACAAGATAAAATCTGCAAAGTCTTTGATCAAATGTATGAAGCTAAAATTGATTTATTCGTTTTAAAAATTGATCTTTTTTTATAAAACTTGGAATTTTTCTAAACAGGTATCAAACACCACACTTTTCCTGCAAGGAACCGATTTCAATATTACAAACCCCTCATCAAAATTCCTGGATGGGTCCCCACCCTCCCTTCTGCACACGGTCTACTCCGCCTACAAAAACCATCACAACCTCGTCCTTCGTCCGGACGACGTTTGGCTCGCCATCCTGACCCAATTCTCATATTACGTCAACAAGCACTCGGAAGAACTTCGGCATTTATTCGTCACGTTTGATGGGAAGAAAAAGCTTTGGGTCAATTATACCAACATGCCTTCCGTAGCTATCGTCCCTTTCGATGACATGATTGACAAAATGGTTGACCTTGTCGAGAAAAACGTGAACGCCAACTTGTCCTTGTGGATACTCCCTAATTTTACGACCACCACGCGAAACGACATGGTCACCTCGGGAAGCATTCTTCTGGCCACGGTGCAGAATTATTTCGAGTACAATTTATGGCTCAGCGCGTGCGGAATTCCGCAACTTACGCTTCTTGGAAGGCGGGAAGATTGGATCGACATTCGAGAACGGATCGATAAACTGCCAAATTTTGAAATCAAAGGGGAAAATCTGATGGAAAAGTGGAGCTCACAATTGGGCCTAGTTTTGGACCAGTTCATCAAAGTTAAAACGACGGGGCAAGTTGATCACGAATTTTGGGAAGGTATCGTCCAACATGGCCGATATTGGGCGGTATGTACCGCCAATGACTTTGTGGATGGATGGATCACTGTTTTTGCCCCCTTCAACAGAGATGGGATTTGGATTGGGAAAAATTATAATGGTGGACGGTATAAGGATTATTGTGAAATTAAGGATGACGACAAGGCGACAAGGAGCATGTTGGGCCGAAACGGACGCAAGAAAAATAAGAGTAAAAAACAAAATTTCCGAGAACAAGTTTACAAAGAATATAACAAAGTTTTAAGCAGTCCTTGGAACACTATTCATTTTGAGGAATTGACGACAATCGATGGCCAGGTCAAGTTTCCGCTTAAAATTACTGACGACAATGTAGCCGATGAAAAGGATCGGGAGTATGAAGGGACCGTGCATGCGGGATATATGGGACATTCCGTGGAAGAGGATCAAGTAACGCTGAAGCCGATAATGGGCTGGGTGATCGCGTTGCATGGGAAACGGCCACCTTATTTGGACAGCCTTCAGTTGGGCGGGGATAAATAATTGGAAATTTATATTTACATATATTTATGCAAGTGCTTAAATAATTATATGGATGAACGACAAGGCGGTATACGAATAAATATATACAGTTTTTATAGTTATGGACATAAATCTATTGTCAGGTCAGACAGCATGAAACAAAAATTCTAGTAGTTTCTTTAAAGTGAAATCTGATTATTTCTCAGAAATTTTAGTCATAACATTTATGCAATATTATATTCTGTATTTACCTATGTAATGTACATATTTATACTGTTACAGGGACGATAGCAAGGTTTGGAATATCGCAACAAATAAATAATTTAAATTTACGACTAAATGCATAACAAAAGTTAGTTGCCAAACATGCTTGATTGATTGATAGATGTACTTTTAAACATTAGCAAAATCTGCATACATACAATTTGCTGTGTATTTCTCGGAAAAATAGTGTGCATGAACTGAAGAAATAACCTGTTCCACCTATACATAAATATATACAACACGATGCTTGTCCAACTAAAGTTGCAACAATATCCGTATTCATTTCTCAGTAATAAGATGAAGGCAGTGTAATCATCAACAAATCTGAGACAAAAAAGTTGTAAGAGTTCATCCTCATTTTTCCTGGTATTAACATCGTATGCAAAACTGTCAAGACTAGCAGTTTCATTTTCAGCTCCTCATAAATACATAGATACATAATCACATAATTTCCAAACACTTTAATATCTGCATAGCAATTATAAATATTCCTTTGACCACACTTCGCTTGAATTGAGAATAATTACACACTCTTTATGAAAATGGTGAAACTTGAGACAGTTTTTTGCATAATTTTGTGCGCACTCCTACTCCAATGTTCCCAATGTTGTGGATGTTCTCGTAAAAGTGAAGCTTCTACGCCTTCCCCACCAATTGAAGTTCCGACGACGACGACGATAAGTGAACCAGAAGAAACTGTATCTCAAGCTGCCCCCATCCTAGAAAAAATAAGCAATGTGTCTCTCATAAATCCAGCCAGTGTCACATTGCGGCTATTTCGATTGCTGGGTGCAGAAAAAGTGGCAAATTCAAACCCAAACGACGATGACAAGAGTTTTTTTATCGCGCTTTAGCTCTACAGGTAATATAGTGTACCTGGTGTCCTGGTAGCCTAACTTTGAATCGGCGAGTATATAAAATCCCTACTAAACCTCAGAGTGACCATAATTCTCGAAAACAATCCCTCTTGCGTGCGATGTTTGTTTCATCCACTACATCTGACACTTGACAACCGCTTAAGTTTCTCTGGTTTCCTATATCTAAATGACGAAATGTTTTTAGTCCAGTGTCAAATTCCAGTTTTTACGAAAAATACGAAAAATTCACTTTTTAGCATTGGTTGGTACAGAAAAAATTTCCAAAATTTGTGAAGAAAAATACCTATATAAATCACCTTTTTACCGTAGAGTTTTCCACAAAATAAAAAAAAATGTTCCTAGTTTTCAGAAATTTTAAGAAATCTATGCTGTGCACATTTTTTTTGATATGGCGTATTATGTACTCCAGGGTCAGTCGTCATGTGGTAAAAACTTCTTGATACATACACGTACATTATATGTATAACATATAATACTGACCATTATGTCACATATTTGTCTATTAAATACGACGATTTGGTCAAAATGAGGTTAAGAAATGCCGTACTTAAAATCATCACAACTTATAAATTCGTTTTCATGATAACTTCAAATTTCATAAATATGTAGGTATCCAACACCACCCTGTTCCTGCAAGGAACCGATCTAAATATTTCAAATCTGTCATCTAAATTCCTTGACGGGTCCCCAGCGTCCCTTCTGCACACGGTTTACTCCGCCTATAAAAACCATCACAACCTCGTCCTTCGCCCGGACGACGTTTGGCTCGCCATCCTGACCCAATTTTCACACTATGTCAACAAGAACTCGGCCGCCCTGCGACATTTATTCGTATCCTTCTCCGAAGAAAAGAAAGAGCTCTGGGTGAACTATACCCTTCCATTCGTAGATCTTGTCCCGTTCGATGACATGATTGACCAAATGGTTGACCTTGTAGAGGAAAACGTGAATGCCAACTTATCTTTGTGGATCCTGCCCAATTTTACGACCACCACACGAAACGATATCGTCACCTCGGGAATCATTCTCCTGGCCACGGTGCAGAAATATTTCACCTATAATTTTGCACGTGCTTCGTGCGGAATCCCGCAAATTACCCTGCTAGGTAGGCGGGAAGATTGGATTGAGATACGAGAAAGGATCGATAAATTGCCAAATTTTGACCTTGAGGGTGCAAGTTTGATGAAAGAGTGGAGCTCACAATTTGGCCTAGTTTTGGACCAATTTATTAAAGTGAAAACGACGGGGCAAGTTGATCACGAATTTTGGGATGGAATCGTTCTCCATGGTGCGTACTCGGGAAGGTGTACCTCCGAGGACTTTGTGGATGGATGGATAACTGTTTTTTCCCCGTTTAACCAGAATGGCGAATGGATTGGTAAACGCTCCACGAATTTAAGGTACAAGGATCGTTGCACCATTGAGAAGGACAAGGTGACTGAAGCCGTAGCAGGGGGACCCGGGGAACAGGATCGCTTGTTAAGAATGTTTTATCCTAAAGAGCTCACTAGTCCTTGGAATAAGATTGACTTAAAGAGTGTGATGGAAGTAGAGAATCGTGTCATGTTTCCGCTTAGAATTAAGGATGATAATGCGGTTGATCTCGAGGGTGGAGAGTACGAGGGCACCGTGCATGCGGGATATATGGGGCACTCCGTGGAGGAGGATGAAGTAACGCTGAAGCCGATAATGGGCTGGGTGGTCGCGTTGCATGGAAAAAGACCAGCATATTTGGACAGACGTCGGTTGGGCGAGAAAAATATTTTAAAATTTTAGTACACATATAAGCATATTACGTAAGGTATATGGGTTTTTATTAATTAATTAATGTGGTGATGCGGACTTTAAAATTATACACATATTGAAATTTGATTTAAATTAAACGAATTAATTGATTCCTGTAGTGCTACATAGTATTTCTACATAATTCTGTGTGTCTGTATTTATTTATATTTCCAATTGTCTTATTTCCTTTCTTCTAATTTATTACATATTTCTACAATAAAATAAACTATAATTTCTAGAAGCGAGTTTTATTATTTTTAATAATTTGTAACTATTTGTTCTATTTGTTTATCCCAATTTTGTAAAATTTACAGATTTATAATTAGCACGATCGAAAGCTTTCATTGGTTTTATCGACATTTTATAATTATTTGGAACCTTTTTGCATAATATTCTGAACTTAAGAAGTCCACTTACCTCCCATTTCCTTTAACTTCAAACCCTCCCAAAACTCATCAAGTTCTTTCCACTCTTCCGGAACCTGTTTCACATCAAGGGCGTCTCCAATCTCAAAATATTTCGACCCATAAAAATTTTCACTACTTATCGGCTCCCAATTCGACCATGGAGAAGTTTTCAAATTTCTATAAAATTTATAAAAATCTATTTAAATTCAATCCTTGCATTACTGGTACGAATTTCAATCTCATCTTACCTCTCCCTAGCAAAATTCACCCATGTCTTAACCATATCCTTGGAAACATTCACTTCCTCTTCATGCGCCGAAATATTTGGGAGCATCATGGAATAAATATCCCCAAGTTTAAACACGTATGGAAGGTCCTCCGCATGCGACGGTTTTTTTGTAGTGGCGCCATCTACAGATATAAAATTCCAATTTTTTGAGATTTTAAAAAGTAAAATTCCTCAAACTCTGAAGCATCGATAACTCATTGCCAAAATCAGTACATTTTAAATCATTTCTCGACTGTGGGAATTTATTTTAAAATTCTGGACGACAAATTTGTACAGCATTATTTTTTGTACAGCAGTTTTTGATCTAGTATGCCTTAAGCTGAAGAAGTATTAAGAAACCTTGGAACCCATCGGCAACTATAAATTTGTCGTCATAAACTTCTAAGTAAATTCCGAGGGAAATGATTAAAAATGTACGATGATGATATGATAACGAGTCGTACAGATAGATACATATGTACGTTAACCATTGATGTATATACGGAACGTCCATGCAAGGGGCGATCCATAAATTATGTCACACTGAGGATGGGGGGGGGAGGGGTGCCAAGCATCCGTGACAAAGTGTGACATATGGGGAGGGGGGGTTCGGATGATCCGTGACATCACGTTTTCTAGGCCTAACTCAATGCAAACTTTAACTCAAATTTTAATTGTTCGACTATGACCAAACTAGAGTTTCGCAATTATTTAATAAACAAGGTCCCAAAAAGTGGGAAATCTTAGTGAGGCCGTGCACAACTACTAAATAAAATTTGGTTACAAAATTTTTATATCACCGCTCTCAACAAGAAGAAATATCGAAGTACCGAGAGCGGTGATGCAAAAATTTTGAAATAAAATTTTATTTAGTAGTTGTGCACGGCCTCACTAAGATTTCGCACTTTTTGGGACCTTGTTGATTTAATACTTGTTATTGAGTTATTTACATGATAAACACAAATTCCTCAAAATTAGCGTGAACATAGCATTTGTTGTCAACGACATTAATGTTATGTTGCTGCAAAAATTGCAAGTTTCTATATTGAATAACGGCACGATTTCTTAACCGATTTTGATCATCCATAGCGCAAAATTTACGGAAAAAATACTCTACAAGACGTGGGGTTTGAATCCTTTCTTAGATGCTCCAGTGATCAATAATAAATGAAAATGTGTTTTTAAGAGCACATTTTTGCCCATAACTCGGGTAAAAATCAAAAATTCAAAAAGGAGATTCGATAATCGTCTTGAAATTGGTTAACAATGATCGGTGCAAAATTTCATCAAAATCGGTTGGGAAATGACCGAGATATCCTGCAAAGTCACTTTTTTTGGGTGGGGTAAATGCATACTTAGTAATTTTTTGTTGCTAGGTATTTGCCTCACTAAGAAAAATATTTCTCCAGCCGAATATCAAATGCATCCAAAATTTCTAAACCAAGTTTCTAAATTTTGTTCAAGCCTTCAAATAATTTGCACAATATCCACAATAATATAGATTGTTTGTAAATTTTAAAAAAAATTAAAATTCATGATGCCATAAAGTATAAAGTTTGCATAATTTCAAAAAATCATAATTTTGCAGATATTCATTCAAAAATTAATAAACATTACTAAATCTCCAAAAATTTGCACAATTTAAAAAATTCGTCCGAAAGAACCATAGTCATAGTTTCAAAAATGTGTACTAATTGAAGACAGCTGCATGATTAAAAAATTTTAACAATTAAAAAAATGTATAGCAATAAATGAAAAATTTGGTGGTTGAAAAACTTATTTGGAACTTTTGAAATCTAAAAATAATACAAAATTAACGGGAATTTTGGAAAAGGTTGTTATTTACAAATCTATAACGCTATGACTTTTCACTCCATCAAAAGGTGTGATATGAGTATAAATAGAGGTAAGAATTGTTCCTATCCTGTAAAATTACACGGGTTTCACTCAGTTATTGAAGAAATATTTCGCTTCAACCGCTATTTGCACTACATCTTCTATGAAAAAGGCGTGGCTTCATGAAATTCGGCAAAATAAAGTTAATTTGTGAAAAAACCCAGGTGACACAGCACAAAAGATTCCCTTGTGAGTCCTGATATTACGCAATATTTACTACGCGCCCCATTTTATACGAATATGCATGTTATTCTTGCTAGGTATCGGAAAAATTCTGATTTTCAGGCGTGACGTGACAAGATGGGGGGGGAGGGGTCACGACGAGCGTGACAAAGGCGTGACAACAGGGAAGGGGGGTCCTAAAAAAGGGCTTTTTTGCGTGACATAATTTATGGATCTCCCCTAACGCAAGGGGAGGGGGAAGGGGTAACCGGCCTCTTGCGTTACACGTAAACTTCCGACAGATGTTAAAAAGGAGGTGTAACCCGATACGTGGGATAAAACATCACTAATTTACGTTATGCACGTATTCTATGAACATTCCCATACCTTCAACAAGAAAATTGAACATGGGAATATCCAAACCCGACGGTTTGTATGGCACCGTTCTTGTGAAATTGTAGAGGTAAACCGGCACATGATGGGAAAGCAATTCAGCCTGAACTCGAAATGGGTGGGTCCACTGCCTTTCACTCGTCACGTGTTCCAACTCCCACAAACTCTCATTTGTGATCGCATTATTTGAAAAAAATTTCTTTTTGATTGAAACCATTGCCTCGGATGGGTCCTCAGCTTGGTGGGAAAGTTCCATCAACCTCAATCCAATTCGACCCCATTGAGCGTCAAGCTTATTGGTGTTACGGTGGGATTTAATAACTAAAAAAATTTTTAAATGTAAGAATTATCGCACACTCTAAATAATAACTTGGAGACAAATCGTCACGGGAGGAGGTACAACTGGTACAAGTGCTCTATTTTTGGGTAATGAGTAAGAAGATGTCACCAACGGGTAAATCGAAAACTCATGTATGTACCAAACAGATATTATGTCGTTATTAGAAAAATTGAACATTTTTATTATCTAAATGTAGGATTCTTTTGAGTGAACGCAGTAAATTTTAAATGGTGACATCACGTCTGTTTGGTACATATATGCGTATTTTCCGTTGGTCACAAAACGTCCCTTTAATCAATACCTAAATTACTGTGCTATGATACTCCGCGGGTGACGATTGGTCCCCAACGTATTATTACTTAATAGTGAATACATAAATACCTAATGAAGCAGCGGCATAAGACTCCCATCCAATCAGACCCATAATTACGGGAACTTGGTTAAACCTCCCAGACTTAAGGAGGTCCAAAGGATTTTCTTTAAGGTACACGTTGGGGTCATCAACCCCATCCGAATAAGTTTCTAAGCTTGGCATTGTAAGCCCAGTGTCTGGGCGTAAGCCATAATCGTCCATTCCGATACTGGTAAAGCCTAAATGGATGGGATCAATTCGCTGCAAACATTCCACCATGTATTCCTTATGGCTTGTTGGACAATCATTATCCTGCGCCAATTTCACTGCTTGGTCCACACCCCGCTCCCAATTTGCTGCGATGAAGGATTGGAGAGCCGTGCCGGACTGGGAGATCACCGAGTGAAAAAGTCCTTTCGCCATGGGACTGGTTACGTGAAGGGAGACCGACATGGCGCCCGCACTCTCGCCGAAGATTGTGACCTTGTCCTTATTTCCGCCAAAGTTTTCGATATTTTCCTGGATCCATTTGAGTCCTAAGACTTGATCTTTAAGGCCTTGGTTCCCTCGGGCGGAGGCTATCCCGGCATTCAAAAATCCTAAGGGGCCCAACCTGTAGTTTATTAGGACGAGGACGACCTATTTTTTAAGTAAAGTTTCTTACGGTAAATCCTATACGCTATATTGTGTAGCGAGTTATAGCAAAAAATCAAGCCAAAAATTAGGAATCACTACCACATGGCCCTTATCATTTCGATTTATCATGCCCCCTCTGAAGAAAAATATTGTGGGTCAAAGTTCGCACGTCCGCCCGAGGAAAATGCGAGAAAATGTACTAAAAAATTGAACTTTGCCGTCAATAATTTTCTTCAGACAACGACTATTCAACGGAATAATAAAGGCCATGTGATTCTTAATTTTTTGCTTGATTTTTTTATATAATTCGCTACACAATCCCGATGTAGCTTGAAATAAGGTAAAATCTATCAATTAAGCAATAAATTAATTACGTCCTCATCCATGAAATATTCTGGGCCGTATTCCTTCGTGCTTCCAAAGAAGAACCCACCTCCGTAAATCCACACGAGAACTGGCATTTTCTCAGATGCTGTAATCTAAGCCAATATGTGAATTTATTAATTTTTTACAATTAAATGTATCTATGTACTTGAAAGGTTAATCGTTTTTAAGAAAATTACCACCTTTGGTGTGTAAACATCTAATTTTAAACAATCTTCGGCACCATGAGAAAACGGAAAAATACCGACATCCATGCACCCTGGATAATCCAAAGTGGCGTCAAAAATTCCACTCCAATTTCCGGCAGGTTTGGGAATCTGGAATAAAAATATGTATATTACAAATTGATAAATACTTATCGCCGCATTTTTGTATTGTATTTTTACATCAAATCTCTTCTCCACTTTGCCAAAGGGTATCCCCTTAAATCCATAATAGTCTTTGGATGACCGTGATTTTGCTTGGAAACCTTTGACCACACCTTGAGAAAGGGTGACACTGTCGCCACATACGCTATGGGCGAAATAAATTGCGAAAATTAGGACAGTTTTTGGAATCATGTTACATTTAGCGAGTGTATTAATCGACTGACTATGAGATGGATTCGATTTGTTCCATTTATGTAGAACAACGAGACATGACAAACCCCAGTTAAAACATGAGAATAAAAACTAAACTACTCTCTATTCGCATATAGTTGAACGTTTACAGAACTTGATAATTCTAAGAAACTACGGCACTGTCAGTCTCAAATTCCACTAAATCTTACTGACGGGGGACTTTGAGATTGATAGTGGCGTAGTTTATCAGAATTCTCAATTTCTGTAAAAGTTCAACTGTGTGCGAATGGAGAGTATGTAATACATAGTATGTAAATATGTATGTACAACATTAAATTATTTTGGCCTTGAGCTTGGACTAAAAATTTGTTTGTGATGGAAGAAGTAATGAAATCTTGCAATAGTATCAAATAAATTGACACTGAAACATGTAGTTTCAAGTTGTCTGTTTGTGTGTAGTTGTTCTTTAATTAACTTTTATTTAGCATAATACACTCTTAAAAATAACGTCACCCTTTTGAAAAGTTAAATGCACTCTAAATTAGAAATTCAGTAAACTATATTATCTAAATCCGGAGTAAATTTTACTCTTCATGAAGCTAACGGATTTAGTATAGTTTACTTTATGTATTTAGAATTGGGGATGCATTTACTTTCCAGAAGGGTGACATGTTTTTAACAGTGTAAAGACTGGCAGTTGATTCAATTGAAATTGATTTTTGCGTCATAGAATCAAGTTAAAGCTTAGAAATGTTGTGACATATATGCATAGAGATACATAATATAGCATACATGTGACTATATATCTTATGAGGCCGGAGTACATTTAATACAAGATGTACATGAAGGGATGCTCAAGTTCCACAAAAAATGTTGCAGACATGTTTTCATTCCTACATTGCATGTAAAATATGTATCACGTTTGCAGATGACCGCATTCAGCGGCAGGCTCGATTTATTGACTCGGTACGAATCGCATCGAACTAAGTTACCTGGGGCTTATGCAATGCCCACCAGACTATTGTCCACTTATGTACACCCAGGATTATAATAATACATTTTCTATATTAAACGTAAATAAGTACCGATACATATAATTACTTGGGCCTTGAGCTTGAACTAAAATGTATCGGGAATGGGTAAAATGATGAAATTTTCAATATTAAAATAAGGATATGAAAGTTTTTTTTGTAAATTTTTGTAGCTTTTCTTCAATTAACTGTTGTTTTTAAAGATTAAAGGCTGACAGTTGAGTCAATTGGAATTAATTATCGCGTCATACTTTTAAACAGATTAAAGTTAAAACTGATACATTTTCGTGCATGAAGCTCATTTACATATATGTACATAAATATTTTTGAGAATTGTACTCCATTTTTATTGAGGAATGGGGAATTAAATTTGTAAGTAAATGCACTAAACTTTGTAAACCAGTCCAGCTATAATTTTAGTCCATCCAAAATTAAAACTACCTAGTACATAAAATTCAGAAATGAGAGTTTCAGTAAGTACATGTATTGATTATCGTTAGTGAGGCAAATACCTAACAATGAAAAAAGTTAATAACAAAGTAGACACAAACCATATTCAGCCAAGATTATTTTTTGACCACCTATGGTTATCTGTCACAAACTATTTAGAAACATGCGCATCTGCTCAAGTGCCGCACCAATTGTTCTTTCAAAACAGTTGGTCTTTCAAACGAACATGCTTAAAAAGTAATCTGGGCTGAACATGGTTTGCGTCTCCATTGTAAGTATGTATTTACCCCACCCCAAAAAAATGACATACCTAAGTCGATTCGTCGGCCATTTATTAACCGGTTTTGTTGAAATTTTGCGTCGATCATTGCCACGGAATGTAGAAAAGATGAGCAAGTAGACTTGGCGAATTTTTAATTTCCACTCGAGTTATTGATGAAAAGAGCAAAAATTCCCACTCAGAGCTACATTTATTACTCGACTCTGGATCATGATATGTATATGTACATATGAATTAAGTAAACTATGCCAAATTCAGGTTATATTTACTTTTTATCAAGTCAATATTGCAGATCATGTGTTTTGGGAATTTCATATTCTTCAATTTGCGATCGATTGACAGTAATTTGGTTAAAATCGAAGAGCATAAGGTGGAAGACATACACTGTTTCATTTTCATGCATATTAGATCACCTTGTTGTTTGAACGGTTAACACAGCTATTTAATCGTCATGAGCAATGCATGAGTGTTTTTACATGTACTACGCAATCAGATTCCAGCCCTGGACAAGTTAATATTTATTTTTTAGATTACTCTAGTCGATAGAATAATCTATCACACGTGTGGTCACTATGCCTGCATTGAATTCTAAAAAGATTAATTTTAGTGGTACAGTGAAATCTAAAAACAGGACATCTGGATCACGGGTGTAATTTAGTTTACCTAGTTTAGTTTAGTTTTTAATGACAATTGAACAATGCTCCTTTATTTTCTCATACATATAATGACAAAAAATAAATTATTAACATAAATAAACATTAATAAATCGTGATTTTTTTGTACATTATAACTGAATATTTTTGACACTTAAATTTCAAGTAAATATTAATAAATATAGAATAGAATTTAAATATATAGTTCATATATCAGTATATTCACTAAATTAATAACTAAATTGAAATAATTGTGAAATTTTTGTGTAGAAAGTAAGCCCACAGTTCTTATGCAGATTTTGGAATGCTAGCATGATTGTTGAAATGTGTCAAGAATTCAACGGTCTTTTCCTTTGTAAACTCATTCTGTTTGAGGGGTTCAATAGAACTTAAGAATGAACCAATGCATCCTCGGTACTTATCAAGATTAATTTCCTTTCTCCCAGACCTATCGCCAGTTAGGCCAGTGTTCCCATTCAGCCCGTTAGGTCCCCATCTTTCAACTATCTCATAGGATCTACTATATTCCGCACATTTCTTACCCGCCCCACCAGTAACATCATCCACCGTAACTCTAAGGTTATTGCCAAATTTGCCACCTCTGCCCCCACTTCCCCCAGCTCCTCCATCCCCACCATTGCCAATATTTCCAAGGATTGTATCTGTTCCTATATTATCAACCTTAATAATTAACCCCGCACCAGCTAGTCCACTAACGCCACCTTTTCCTCCATCTTGACCTCGACCCCCTTGGACACCGGGGTGGCCATCAATTACTACTTGAACTCCATCATCGCCAGCATGGCAATCACAGCATTCCCCACTGTTACAGGTATTAGGATATACACGAATACGAATTCGCCCACCACTCCACGCCGCACAGTCGTCACTATCAACAGAAAAGCTCTTCGCTGTACTGTCAGGCGAAGCCACCCCGTTTGCCCCTGGCCCGCCCTTGCCACCTTTTCCTCCTTGTGCTTGCAGTCGTATTTCACCGGTTATATTCTGATGTACCATATAGAGTGTACCAGCGTTCTTTCCAGCAAATCCCTGCCTACTTGGGACACCACCTCGGCCGTGATTGTCGAGAATAGAATCACCATCCTGCCCGTTTAAAATAATACTCGCCTCCTGTTTTACCCATATTTGTGGAGCTATTATGGCCACATCAGAACCTTTGCGATCGAGGACACGGTCCAGATAAAATTTGTCCATTGCAATTATAGCTACAGAAGATTCATCTCGTGTAAGATCATAAATATTTGAAAGCGATAAGAAATTTCCGGAAATTATAACATCAAAATCGGCCGAACTACTTACTGCATGATTTCCAAGTGTAAACCTTAGCAGAGAATGCATTCGAGCAAGTGCACCTTGGTCATTAATCAACATTGTGTGAAGTATTGTTGAATTTTGTTGATAAGGATTTGTCGAAAGAAAATCAAGACTTGTTGCCTTAACAAAAAATTCCATAAAGATTTGATAATTGTTTAAATCTTTTCCAATACTCCACCAATAATGCAAGCTTTCTGCCCTTTCACTCTGAACTTTCTCTTTGACTAAATCTTTGTACAGGTTGCTTAAAAAATAATTGATAGTTGTCCCACGAACAACAGGCACAACTAGCATTGATCTGTGATTTCCCATCCAGTCCAACGAACGCCACTGGAAATCATTAAGGAGCAACAATATCTCAACAGCTTTTACCCCATCAATTGAAACACAATCGCTACAACCAGTTGTAAATAAAGCTGAATACTTTCGGGACAAATAGTCAAAAGTCGCGGTAAATGTGCTAGTGCGGAGTAGAGGCTCTAATCCGTCTGTACATGCTGTAATGTCACGGTCAATTATTACTGACCTATCAACCTTAGCTTCTATGGTATCGAGTGACTTAAGATCATCCATAATTTTAGTTGCGGTTGACTCTGCTTGGCCCCTGGCCGACAGAAAAACGATATCAATAAGCTCACTGGAGACCGTATCATTTAGTGCAGTAGTGATATTTGCAACTAAACCCTGTAGCGGCAGGACCCATAGCTTTGGTTGAATATTAATAGGCCCCTTTAAATCTTCAACAAATTGTAAAAATGACGAGAAATCTAATAGATTTTTTTGTGTATCAGTAACAAAACCATTTCCGAATGAATTTATTGCTTCAATTGTTTCATTTATGTAAAATGATGCCGACTCGTCGGGAGTGTCAGCAAAGGAGTAATCTGCAGTTAATATGCCTCTAACCATGATCTCAAGTTCTGGGAGGTCAACCGGCCTGTTTTGCGACACGGCCGTAAAAGTTTCAATCACATGAGTCAGTACAGCATTTGCAAACAAAACAATTTCATTTACAATATCTGCCGAAACTTGTGTAGCAATATGATCAAGCAGAAGTTTTGCCTCACTTGATACCGGAAGACCGAAATCACCATCGATTGTCGGTTTGAAGACTGATACGCCAGAGATCAAGTTATTTAGATGTGCCATATTCTCTTGGAAAACTGGATCTTCCTTAAGCAAAGTCGCATTTCCCATTGATGAAGTAGGACTTCTAAATATGCCGATATTTATTGGATCGTAACCTCCAACTGTCTCTGTTTTGACGAGTTCGTTCATAATGTTAAGGGCATTCGGTCTTAATTCATCGTCAAACGCCACATCGTCAAAATCTGTCATAACATTTTGTATATAGAAGACGGCACGTCCTAATACGTCCTCATATGTGTCGGCGTAGGGAACTCGATTTACGATTAGGCTAATGGATCCAGTAAACTTAAGAGGTTCTTTAACAAATACCGAAGTGTATTTCAACAAATCTAGAAAGTCAACACGGTTACTAGACTCGAAGTAACGATCGAGCGTTAGTATTATAATTTTAACCTTCTCGCTGGGTTTGATTGCTTCTTGGACGAAGAATGAATTTGCAATTTCGATGCTCTCGTTTCTTGAATCGTCAAACCCTGGCATATCGAAGAAAGGCGTTGCATCATCATGGACTACCATATTTGGAAGGAACGTTTTGGAAATGATACCGCCGCCAATGTTTGATGAGTCATCGTCCACCCAACATTGTCCAAAAAGACAATAGCTCTTTAATGTATTGGTGCTATTGGCAAAGAATTGAACAAACGTGCTTTTCCCAGCACCACTTTTTCCAATGACCACGACTACATCTTTTACTTCCGGCCGTGGCATGTCACACCTCCCAACGCGAAGATAGCACAAAACTTCCTCGAAGAACGGGTTACACGCGTCGGACTCTCCAGCACAAAGGTCGTCTATGAAATAGATCATATTAATTAGTTGATTTGTAATCAAGTCCGATAAACTAGCACAATAAAATATAGCAGTTGAATAATAGGGGCTGAGTGTTGACTTATTGTTATTTTTTCCCAAATTATAAGTTAATTTACAAATGAATTATGTTAGGCTGCAGTTCGAATGGTTCATTTTTTTTAATTTTATGTTTTATGCAGTTTAGTAGCCAGACTTCCACTACCTATGTATAAGAATCAGAATAAATAATAATCCTATCAGAATCACAAAATTTTATGTGTAAAGTGATTCCGTGTTTCTTTATTGCCAGTCATAACTGTTTCATATTGTGGGTTGAGAAATATTTACTGCTAAAAGGTATGCTGCGTTTCGTTTTTCAAGAACATCACACCCCCTAAGTCCTAGGGCTATAGCAACGTGATAATTTTTTAAATCCTAAGTAATTCCTAAAATTTGTTAGTCGACCACTTGTACTTTATTATTAATATTTCCGGCAATTTTATTCTTGTATACTTCTAAATAATACAAATGAGAAACGAAGGCTCGCAGTAGATAAATCGGGGTTACTACAGCAGCTATAAAAAGAATTGTTGTACTTACCACATCTTTCCCCAGGAATACACTCGTCCCCTTCTCGGTAAACTTGCCCGATTTTCATAGCATACCATGCAACCTTTGTCAAATAATATACTACATTATTGTACCAGTTCGGTCTTAAATACATACGTCTATTGCTTATAATCGTTTATATATTTAATATAAACGAGTATAATATAAATTAAATAATTTAATATAAATTATTTTCAAGATCCAAGTTTAATTTCTCACCGAAAATTCATCGTATTCCATCGGTAAGGTTACCCCAAATCCGACTAAACAAAGTAGAAACGCGTTTCTAAGACTAAATTTGATTATCATGATAGCAAATTTGTAATAATGTAAGCTTCCTCAAAATAATGGTTTTTTAGCGGTTATATTTTTATTGACTGAATTGTAACGTTCGAGATGGCTTAAGCTTTAAAACAGTGTCCAGAAATGGGTGGTGGAGTGAGTTTTATACTACGCTGAGATCAAATTTAAGCTGTGCTGATGCATATGCTGAAAACTAAATTGGTTGACAAGCTATCTACAACGAGAAACACTTGAGTAGCCATGATGCAGAGAATAAATACTGAGAAATTTCCAGTATGCATGCTGAGATAATGCGCACGGCACTTTCCAATTATGAATTTTGACCACGAATTCATTGAATTTCTTACCAATGACAATGAGTTGCTATATAATAAATTGAATTGAGTTGCTTATCTTTATATGTTTATCATTCACGTCACGTTGTGCTAAATTTCAAGGAAAACTGTTGCAATCAACATTTTAAGTGGATGACATAAAATTGACTATGCATTTCTACGAAAAATGGGCATGCTCAAGGTCTTAGTTATGTACATGTTATGTTAGGTATGCAATTGAAGTTATATTGTCACCACATCGGCTGATTAATTACGAAATTGAAGCCTTATCGGTACTGGTACTTGAGAGGTAAAGCAAATTTCAATGAATTTGAGAAACCTTAGTTAATTTGGTAGTTCCTGGATTTTTCTGCGCTTATACATAATGCAACCAGGCATTAATCAAGAGACGTCAAAAGTACAAAAGTCCACGTCCAACTCACTTTTGCTACGTTAATACTCATATTAAGCTGATCCTGAATATGGGATTACACAATCACAAAGACTGGAGAATTCCGACACCCAATCATTGACTGAGATCAGATTTTAACAAATACACGGGCAAAGTGCTTCTATCCTCATTCTTTAGTAAGTAGCCGTGCAGAACGATCTCGCCATGTCGTGCTCAGCTCATGTAATCTAGGAATTTCATAACTTTGACACTCACTTTTTAATTAATTAGTTTTCAAATTAGAAGAAAATGCTCTAAATTTTCCAAATCTTAAAATTATAGTCCCCTAATACTTTAAATTCTTCAACGATAATTACAATTTGTCCATTTGTACATTAGTTAATTTGAACGACTCGTAAGAATTTAGAAAGTTAAGCTTTCCTCCGTATAAGATGGATGACCTCTGTCCTACCAGATTTTGGGTAATATATATATTTAGCAAAACAAATTTCATTTCATCAAACATGACCCATGACTTGCTTTGTACTTGTACATATATATGACACTGTTATTAACTCCAAGGGATAAAACTTGGTGTATTGTGGAAAAATTATCTCTCTGGGACGGAAAATCTACCGCTCTCGTATATTTCGTTATGTAAATGAGGCCAAACTTCGTCTTTTTCCGTCCCACAGAGATATTCGCTCTGCAATAGTTTGAGTACATAAATGTTTATACTTGTGATGTGATTGAAAGGTGTACACATATAAATTGATTCTACGTGACATAATAACTTCATCATAAACATATCTACATAATTACTATTTCTAGGATTTAAATCTCACGTGGCATACGACATCTCCTTATTTCATGTTTTGCTTCGAAGAAACCATACTGTTATTGATCCCTTTAACCTTTGTCACAATTTTTGGGTTCATCGTTATCTGCAAAGTGTGGAACATGCATCGAACAATAAAAGATAACAAGCCATGCAGATTCTTAACTTGTTTGCATGTTGGACTTTTCGCTGGGCTTTTAATTACGTCAGTATCTCCCCTTATTCATGAAGATCAAGCCTTTGCTACTATCAAGATACTCATTGTTTCAAGTTCAACCAGGGTTCTAACTTTTGTAATGCACAAAATATAAATGCGATAATTTTTCAGTATTTTTCATGTAAATGTTTAACTTTAATATGTAGACATTTGCCTTTTGTTTAATGGGATATTTAAACACGAGACGCTTAAATTTCGCTGTCACACTCACGCTTGGGTTTTGGTTAGTGTGCTTGCTAGTCGAAGGAGTTTTGTTCAGGAGTGCGGTGTTCAAATTGGACTACGATGATGATTCCCAAGAGGTGAGATAACTTAATTTAATATGATTAATTGCCTTGCGTGAACATAAATTCATCGTATTTAAGACCGTCCAAAAAGGATATATCACACGATACATGATATTTCCTTTAGTTTTGGGGGAAACTGCGATTCAAATATTGACAGGAATATGTCGCCTTTGCAAGTCACGTAAAGTAATATATATTTTAGAACGAGATATCTTACAAACATGATACAAAGTTTAAAATTACACAATTTACACCGAAAATGGATAAAATTGTTAACAGAAAGATCCAAAACATTTAAATGCAAAGACTCAAAATGCCACTATATTCAACTTTTGGATGGATAAAATCTTTTGGAAGTCGTTCAGGAAAGATTCTCTTCAGCTGAATCCATTTGATCTAAAAGATGCATATAAATATGCTGACGAAAACTGGGAAGGAGAAAGTATGGTGGAATCGCTGGCAAGGTATATATGCAGTAATATGCACATATGCACATACATATTTATTAGCATACCAATTATACATATAATACAATAATATTAATATATATATTAATATAATATTAATACAATATAATACATACCATTATTTGGTATGTATTATCGTGGAAGACTAGATTTGATCCTATTTAAATTATGCAATATTTCATATCATATTTGCCAACCATTTCAAATGCAAATTACACAATAATCTTCTTTCCCCTACCGAAAATATGACACAATCTCTGCCCTTAGGCATTGCACAGCTTTACGTAAGACCAGCATAATTTATATACATAAATAACCCTTCCCGAATTTTCATTTTAGTAACCCTAGCTCAAAGGTAACTGTGATACAACAGTTCTGGCTTAATTTCCGGAAGCAATTTGTAATCTCAGGTTTCCAACGAATTTTACAAGAATTATTGGCATTCGTGGCGCCAGAAATATTGCGGTGAGTTAACAAACGCTAAATCAATCGACCACCCAGAAATGTTTAAATTACAAAAAAAGATGTTTCCATAGAATTATGGTTATTCATTTTACGGAAACAAAATCTGAATCAACATGGAAGGATTACTTCTACGTTTTTGCATTAATCCTCTCCTTAGTGACGAGAAACATTTTGGGACTATTTTATTGGAAAAATGTTACCTCAATAGCAATAAAATTCAGATCTATGCTACATTCCATCCTAATTCAAAAATCTGTGCGAATCAGCTCATCGGAATCCGTTGGTATGCAATAAATTCGTGGAGCTGACTAAAACCTATACAATAATTTCACCTTAATGTCACCCTGGTAATTTTTAGGCTCTACCAAAAGCACATTGCTCAATATTATGGGGGCCGATTCACAAAAGTTATGCGACATAATTCCATTATTACACACTTTGTGGATTGCCCCTATTCAAACAGTAGTTGCTACATATCTTCTCTACAATCTGCTTGGAAACGCCGCATTTGCTGGTCTAGCCACGATCATTGTCCTGATTTGCGTAACCTTTGTTTTGACGAGACAGCTAAAATTGTTGCAAATAAACCAAATGAAAGCAAAGGATGCAAGGCTGAAAATTGTATCGGAAATAATCCAAAATTTAAAGGTAAATTTTTTAGCTATAATAATTGTGCCTTTATTCTAGCTCACATAAAAAATTATAGATTATTAAACTGCACGCGTGGAATGAAGCATTTCTGAAGAAAATCGGACTAGCTCGAGTACCAGAACTGGATTCATTATGGAGTAGCCTTACCAGGTTGGCGTGCATGGTGACCTCATTCACGTTTGCCCCTGTGGTTGTCCTGCTTGTTGTTCTCGTCACGAAATCATTGCTCGACGAGGAAGCGATCTCTGCAGAAACGATGTTCTCAGCACTATCGATCATAAATATTATTACAGTGCCGTTATTGACGTAAGACGACATATCGTAACATTTTTTACCAAAAATGGCGAAATTTATTTCATACACAGAATTCCTTCCCTGGCTATGCTGTTCTCTCAAACATCAGTTAGCATAAAAAGAATAAATAAGTTTCTCAACTTGGAAGAATTTCAGTTGCCCAAAGCGTATCTAAAATCTGATAAGATTTCAAGTGGTAAGGTTGCATACTTAAAATCATGAATTGTGTTTTTTAATCATGCAATAAATTCACTCATTTACGTAGATCAGAGTTCAATCCAATTTAAAAACACATATCTCTCATGGAATAACAAAAATTCAACTCTAAGAAATATACACTTTACAATTCCAACTGGATCACTTGTCGCAATTGGTGAATATTTGGCTATTAACTAATTGTAAGCTGAGCCCAATTGCTATTATTCTGTATTTTTTAGTTGGCGAAACTGGGTCAGGAAAATCTTCCCTTTTACAGGCTATATTAGGGAATATGTTCATTACCAAAGGTCAAATTTGTGTTAACGTATGGGCATTTTTCTAAAAAAAAGTCGCTTTAACATCCAAAGTATAAAATATGACTAATTTCAGGGAAACATTGGCTACGTTTCAGAAACAGCTTGGACGCGAAAGACCACTATAAAGGAAAACATTTTACTCCACAAACAACTCGACAAGCAGTTATATCTCGACGTTATAAATGCATGCGAACTTGACACTGACTTATCTTGTTTACCCATGCGTGATGACACAATTGTCACAGATAACGGTGGCAATCTGTCTGGAGGTCAGAGGCAGAGAATCGCATTAGCTCGTGCGGCATATTGTAAATCAGACATTTACGTAATGGATCAGCCCCTCAGTGCACTTGATGCAAACACTGCTACGAAAATTTACAGGAAGCTATTAAGCCAGGAGGGCATTCTAAGAACGAAAACTAGAATCATTGTAACGGATTATGAGGAATTGATTGCAGATGCAGATGTTATAATACACTTAGAAAATGGAGCTGTAAAATATGTCGCACCTAGTGTGTGCAAAACAATGCGTATGATATCAAACCGTTGTGATGATAATTTGGATAGTAATGTGCCCTCCACGAACGAAATTTTTCATAATTTCGAAAATAATATTTCCGAGAACAGAATCGGATTTGATGACCAATTTAAGAACGTTAAGAAATCAATGTATGTCAGAGAAGGGGGAACAAAATACTTAATATTGGGAGCAACATTAGTCTTCTGTTCAGTCGGTAATACAAAATAAAATAAAATTTAAGTTTATTACATTTTATTACCATTAAAATTATTATTGCAAATGCCATCAGGAGTATACACATTTTCCAATGTATGGTTATCAATTTGGAGCGCACAAGATGATGTTAATCAGATAAAATCAGCAACGACGAACATTACAATTTATGGCGCAATGGGAATAGCTCAAGGTAAATATGTATGTATTTTTTACGAACTAATCTACAAGAAAGACCAGCAATTTAAAATTATTCAAACATTTTTATAATTTCCATTTCAGCAATATTATTACTTCTCGGTTGTCTATTTATGTACAAATTATCGCTCAACGCATCTAGGAAGCTACATGAAATTTTAGCTTTAAAAATTCTGAATGGGAGGATAACGTTTTTAAATAAAATTGGCATCGGATCAGTATTAAATGTGGTATCTAAAGATGTCGATATCTTGGAGTCAAGCTTTCCACAAAATCTGCAAGGGACCTTGCTTAACTTCCTTCTTCTTTTAAGCGCAATTTTTACAACGTGTTACGCTACTCCAATTTTCTTAGTATTTGTGGCTCCACTTGCTCTATTGTATTACTTTCTTCAGGTTTCAATTTTATTTTATTTAAATTCTGTGCAATATTATAAACGCCATTAACAAAAATTGTCTAACATGCAGAGATTTTATGTCGTGACATCAACCAATCTGAGAAGAAATGAATCACTAACAAGAACCCCGCTTTACAGCCTTGTCGTGGAAACGCTTTCGGGATTATGTTCCATTAGAGCTTTTGAAATTGTGGATGAAACCATAAGAGAAATTCAGGCATCCCTTTTAGAAAATAACAAAGCTTTCTTTCTGTACATGACGGGAACTTTGTGAGTTTTACAAGTTTTTGTAGTTCATTTAATCCTTTGATTAAGTAGTTCATTCATCTTTCTTGTTTTAATAGATGGATTAAAGCCAGACTAGACATGCTAGGAACATTAATAGTCTTGGGAACTTGTATATTTGCCGTCATCTCGAAAGACAATTTAAGCCCGGCTGTGATCGCCTTATCGCTATCTTCAGCCCTGCAGATAACACAACTGTTGAATTACTTTGTTAAATTAACGACGGATTTCGAGTCTAACATTGTTGCTGTGGAGAGAGTAGTAAATTTGACTTCAATTCCTCAAGTAAAAACTGCTAACTAAAACCGTTAATTTCCGAAATTGCTGTATATGTACATATCTTTCATCATTATGTATGACAAATGTGAAAATATCAGGAAGCGCTGAATGATGTTTATCCCGAAGTTAATGAATCATGGCCTGAAACTGGGGAATTAAAACTTACGGATTTACAAGTCCATTATGAAGAAAATCCACAGCCAGTTCTGCAAATTAATAACTGTGAGATCAGACACAAAGAAAAGGTACAACTGTCATTTTCATATACAGTATGTAACTTATTCAATGCTATTCTTTTCAAATTCAATTCAAATTCAATTTTCTCAAAAGCAGATATGTGTAGATACTTCAAAATTATTTCGAAATCATTTAGTAACTATTTAATACGTATTGGACTACAGATTTAAAAAATTTTGAAAAAATTTAGATAATAATATAAGTGGCATACTGTATATTAATACAAAAACCTTATAAATGAGAGAGAACATTAGAATAATTTATATTTTATTCTAGATTGGAGTTGGTGAGGAAATCCCATTTATATAAACACTATGGAACACATTTTACATTATTTGATTCCATGGGTTTGGTGTTAAAGTTGGGAGAACCGGAGCTGGTAAGTCGTCCCTCTTAATGACCATTTTCCGTCTAATGGAACCTACCAGTGGAAATATAATTTTCTCAGGACAAAACATTGCACAAATTCCTCTTCATTATTTAAGATCCAAAATTGCAATTGTTCCCCAGGTAATAAATCAACAACTTTTATAGATAAGTAGCAGTTTCTGGGATATTCTATCAATTTTTTTTACTAAAGGAGTCCACATTCTTTGCTGATACGCTACGATATAATCTTGATCCGATGGGATGTTACAGTGATAATGAGATATGGAGTGCGTTGGATATTGTTAATTTGAAACAATATGTATCTAACATTCCACATGGTTTGTACTTCCAAATGACGCCCGATGACACGAAGATAACGTAATATAGATAAATACTTAGTTCTTACTATAGAAAATTAAATTTTTAACCGATTATTACTTTCACAGGTCCGGCTACAAACAATTGTTATGTTTAACTCGAGCCATTCTTAAGAAGCCAAAATTTTTAGTTTTGGACGAAGTGACGGCTAATTGTGACAAGAATATTGAGGATCTCATTCAAAAAATTGTGAAAGAACAATTTAAGGAGTCTACCGTCTTACTTGTTGCACATCGTATTAAAACGTTACTCGAATGTGACAGGTTATACTCTGTTTGATAAATATTAAATAGTAAAACTCATGTTTGAGGGCATTATGCATAATTTATGTTCGATTTTTTAGGGTCATGGTGCTCAGAAATGGTCAGATTAAGGAATTCGACACTGTTAACAACCTGCTCAATTTAAAATCGGATTTTTATGAAATGGCTAAATCTGATGGATGCATTCGATTTAAGTAGATCAATACTTACTTATAAGAACGTGTATGTATAATCCTACTCGAATTATCGGAGTAATAAAGTGGCTGGTAAAATGTGAATACAACTTTCCAGTTTCTCAACTTTGAAATAAACAAAAATAAAGTATTTTGTATTCGTTCGTACCCTTGTTTCCGGTTATTGTTCAGACCCTGAGTTTTTTATTTAAAATTTATTTGCATATGTATGTAAAGTGTCAGTTAGATAAATCTAGTTGTTACTGACTGATGTGATGTGTGTGTGTCATGTTGATTATGTACGTGGGTGTTTTATTATTGATTTTCAAAAGGTATGTTCCGCACTGTTTCTGACCAAACTTTTGATGAAATAACAAACTTCAAATACATGTAGGATGCTGTGATTTTTTTCAGTTCTATAGGTTAACATTATCACTAGCAATAACTCATCAAAATTTACCTCGAAAATATGCCAAAATTTACGACTTGATTTTATTATCATCAGAAAACCGTTTCCCCCTGATGTCTTTCTTTAAGTTTCGAAACGAATAATAATCACCAGGGGTCATGTCTGGACTGTACAGGAGGTGGTTTATCTAGGTGAAGCGATTTCCGTCTGCAGCAGCCCTCGCAAAATGCCAGGTATGAGGTGGGGCTTTGGCGTGCTAAAAATGCACCAACTCTTTTTTTTGACCCCACGTTTTTCTTCAACCAGAGCACACAACTCCTTCGGGATTCCTGCATAGGCTGCCCCATTTATCATAGTATTTTTACCAATAAATGTTATAAGGAATGGACCTTTGATATCCTTGAAAATGGGAATCATCAATTTTTTGGCAGGTTTTTGCACTTTTGCTTTCATGGGCTGGGGCGACCCCCCGTGCTTCCATTGTATGAATTATTATTTGGTCTCCGGGTCATAATAGTAAACCCAAGTATCATATCCAACTATTAAAATATGAATCAGGTTCCAGGTTTCATTTGAAAGGGCAAAACTTTCATTCCAAAAGTCGATTCGATCCTGTTTTTGAGATGCCGAAAGCAATTTTAGTACACAACGGGAGGAAGCCATTTTCATACCGAAGTCTTCAGTTAACATGGAACAAATTGTTAGTTTTGGAACACCCATCTCATCTGCTAAATAGGACAGTTTCAATCGCGGATCTCTCATTATTGGTTCCTCTAGTTTCCGGAGCCTTTCTGTGGGAGAAACAGATTTTGGGCGTCCTAGCGGCTTTTTGTCCGAGACCTCTTTTCGCCATCATTTGAAATTATTGACCCAATTGAATTTGTGTTTTGTGTTTAGCAGTTTTCATTGTAAATTTTAAGCATACGATCATAAATCTGCGACACCGATTACCCCTCCAGCGTTAAAAATTAAATTACACTACGATATTTAATTTGCAAATCTGACATTTTTTCTGTCGAGGTAAAGTTTGATGATTGATTGCTAGTGTTAATGTTAACCTAAAGATCTGAAAAAAATCACAGGATCCTAAATGTATCCGAAGTTTGTTATTTCGTCAAAATTCTGGCCAGAAACAATGCGGAATATACCTTTTGAAAATCAATAATAAAACACCTACGTATACAGAGGTACCACCTGGTATCGACCTTATCACCAAATTTTTTAGAGTATTTAATATGAAAAATAATACAATAAAATATTATATAATTCTGATGATGAAGCATGTTTTATTATTTTTTAAGAATTTTGAACAATTTGTTCTACTTATCCCAATTTTTTCAAGTTTACATATTTATAATTTTCATGATCTAAAGCTTTAATAGAATAAACATGGTTGAAGACCCTGAACTTAAGACGTCCACTTGCCCCCCATTTCCTATAACTTTAAACCATCCCAAAACTCATCAAGTTCTTTCCACTCTGCTGGAACCTGTTTTAAATCATTGGTGTCCCCAATCTCAAAATATTTCGACCCATAAAAATTGTCACCACTTATCGGCTCCCAGTTTGACCATGGAGAAGTTTGCAAATTTCTGTAATAAATTATAAAAATTTAATTAAATTCAATGCTTTAATTACTAGTAAATACTAATCTCATTCTCATCTTACCCCTCTCTTGCAAAATTCACCCAGGTCTTAACCATATCCTTGGAAACATTAACTTCCTCTGCACGCGCCGAAATATTTGGGAGCAAAGCGGAAAACATACCCTCAAGTTTAAACACGTATGCAATGTCTTCCCCATGCGACGGTTTTTTGGTAGTGGCGCCATCTACAGAAACAAGATGCCAGGATATTTTTAAGATTTTCAAAAGTAATATCCCTCAAGCTATAAGTTAATATAGGGCTCAATCAAAAATCGTCCAAATCAGCACATTTATGCATTTCTTGGATCGGGGAATTTATTTTAAAATTCTGGACAAATAATTTGTCGAGCAGGTCGTTCCCATAAAAAACGCAAATTTTTATCGTTTTTGAAGAGGGATTTCAAGTTTATGATGCTTTAAGAAAAATCTGAATGCATAGATACTGGCTTATCTTATCTGTAATTTTAAAAAACACTCGCCGCAATTCTTCTAATATACTTAAATATGTAATTTCTGACCAAAAATTTGTTGTCAAGAATTTTAAAATGAATTCCCAGAGCCGAGAAATGATTATGTGTACATGTGCTAATTTTGACGATTTTGGTGACTGATCGAGTCCTGAGTACATACATTAACCATTTACGTACCTTCGACAAGATAACTAAACATTGGAATATCCATGCCGAGCGGTTTGTATGGCACCATTCTCGTAAAATTGTAGATATAAACGGGAACATGGTGGGAAAGTAATTCAGCCTGAACTCTAAATGGGTGGATCCACTGCCTTTCACTCGCCACGTGTTCCAATTCCCATAAACTCTCATTTGTGATCCCACCATTGGGAAAAAATTTCTTTTTGATGGAAACCATTGCCTCGGCTGGATCCTCCGCTTGGTTGGAAACTTCCATAAGCCTCAATCCAATCCTGCCCCATTGGGAATTCAATTTATGGGTTATATCGTGCGATTTGATAACTAAAATTTCAAAAAGGAAATAAGAATTCTGATAAAGTTAATTACTTAAAAATGCATACTTGATGAAGCAGCGGCGTAAGATTCCCATCCGATCAGACCCATAATTACGGGAACTTTATTAAACCTCCCAGATTTGAGGAGATCCAAAGGATTTTCTTTAAGGTACACGTTGGGGTCATTGCTGCCATCCGAATAGGTTTCTAAACTTGGCATTGTAAGCCCAGTGTCTGGGCGCAGACCAAAATCATCCATTTTGAGACTACTTTTGCCCAAAAGGTAGGGATCGATTCGTTGGAGACATTCCACCATGTATTCTTTATTGCTGGTTGGGCAATTATTGTCCTGCGCCAATTTCACGGCCTGATCCACACCACGCCCCCAATTTGCCGAGATGAAGGTCTGGACTGCCGTGCCGGACTGGGAGATGGCCGAGTGAAACAAGCCTTTCGCCATGGGACTGGTGACATGAAGGGAGACAGAGATGGCGCCCGCACTCTCGCCAAAAATTGTGACCCTGTCCTTATTTCCCCCAAAGTTTTCAATATTTTCCTGAATCCATTGAAGTCCTAAGACTTGATCCTTAAGGCCTTGGTTCCCTCGGGCGGAAGCTACCCCGGCATTTAGAAATCCTAAGGGACCCAACCTGTAGTTTATTAGGACGAGGACAACCTATTTTTCAAGTAAAGTTTTTTTAGTTGCAAATCGTTGAACGTTGGACTCGATGACTATTCACAATATCGTAAAAATCAACAAATTGTTAATCATTACTGTGCTCTGGGAATTTATTTTAAAATTCTGGACGACAAATTTGTAGTCGGTAAATAGATTGGCGTTGTTTTCTTTTATAAATTTAAGTCAACAAGTTACGGTGAGTTCTAATTTTTCTGATTTCTACCCCTTAAACTTGAGATCTCATTCAAAAGTCGTAAAAACCTGGAGTGTAAATTCTTTTAAGTTGACAACGACTTGCTTTACAAATGTATCATCTAGAATGTAAAATAAATTTCCAGACCCTAGAAATTATTAAAAATGTGCTTATTTTTTTGGAAATGAGTCTTCGAGTGCCTATTTAATCTCAAATCAACCAATTAATTATTTACATCCTCATCCATAAAATACTCTGGGCCGTAATCCTTCGTGCTTCCGATGAAAAATCCTCCTCCATAAATCCACACGAGAACTGGCATTTTCTCAGATGCTGTAAGCTAACAAAATAAATAAATTTATTTATTTTTGCCAATTAAATTTTCCAAGAAATTAAAAAAATGCTCACTTTTGGTGTGTAAACATCCAATTTTAAACAATCCTCGACGCCATTAGGAGCCGAAAATATACCGACATCCATGCACCCTTTGTAGCTCAAAGTAGCGTCAAAAATTCCACTCCAATTTCCGGCAGGTTTTGGAATCTGGAATAAAAGTAAAAATTATTTGTATAAATAATAAAAAATTATCCGCGCATCTTCTGATTTTATTTTATATTTTTACATTAAATCTCTTCTCCACTTTGCCAAAGGGTATCCCTTTAAATCCATAATAGTCCTTGGCTGACCGTGATTTTGCTTGGAAACCTTTGACCACACCTTGAGAAAGAGTGACACTTTCGCCAAATACGCTGTTGGCAAAATAAATTGCCAAAATTAGGACAGTTTTAGGAATCATGTTACATTTAGCGAGTGTATTGACGGACTGAGGAGATGGGATTGATTTGTTTCATTTATATAGAACAACGAGACGTGGCAAACAATATTTAAAAGATGTGGATAAAACATAATGTAGGTACATTTGTATGTATGTACATATGAACATACATACGTACAATGCGTGTTGGATTATTATAATAGCCTTGAGCTTGAACTTAAAATTTGTCTGTCATGGATTAAATGATGAAATCTTGCAGATACATCAAAATAAATTGGCACTGAAATACATATGCTTTAAACAAGCTGTTTATTCATAGCTGTACTTCAATTAGGTTCTATTTAGCAAAATACACTCTTAAAAATAGTGTTGCCCTTTTGAAAATTAAATGGATTTTAAACTCTAAGTTAAGTAAAATATATGTACAAAATCTAGACTAAACTTTTATCTGGCGGAATTTTTTTGACATATTTTCATTATTTTTTCTTTGCAGAAATTCACTTCCATGCCAGAATTCTAGTTTCTAACACACATAACATAAGGATTTCATTAAGAAATTGCATACATACTACACTCTTAGCAAAATGGTATTGAATCATAACCCACCGGAGTGCATGACTTATCGGCACGGCATTACATTACCATGTGGTAATAGATGTACACATGTACACCCCAGTATAGAAAGTACACCGTTGTGGTGAAGAAAGCTGGTGTACGGAAATTTGGGTATGGAAATTTTGGTCTCGGAAATTTGGGTACGGAAATTTGGGTATAAGGAAATATGGGTATCGGAAGTTTCGGTCTGCAGAAATTTTGGTCTCGGAAATATGGGTAGCGGTTAGGGTTGCCGCGGGTAACGGGTCGGGTACCCGTTACCCGCATACCCGCACGATTTTTGCGGGTACCCGTTATCTGCGGGTAGCGACAACTACCCGCACGGGTAACGGGTAGTTCAGTTTTTATTCTATTTTGGCCATAAATTGGCTAACAAACAAAGTTACAAGCTTCTCAGGCCTTAATTACAATTACAGAAGCATGATTTTATTATATATTCAGTTCAACATTCGTCATTGGCAGCAACAAGCCTTTATAGTGAGTGTCTGCTCGGAAGCGACAGAAGATACGGCAGCCTCAAATAGTTTTTACGACCAGAAAATGCGGAGAAATTATTGTTTCTCAAGCAGATATAAATTGTCTGCTCTAAAATACGTGCACAAATTTTATTTGCATTTGTGCGTATTTTTGTAAAACTGAGAATATTTTAATTTGTGCAGATGAAAAACTTCAATCGGATTGAAGGCTAAAATTTTATTTGCAGAAGATTTTTCAATGAAAACTTCATTGAGATCAGAATTTCAGAAATTAAACTAACATTGGAACTGACTGATTTTTTCAACTTGATTTTTTCAAGCCACACCAAGAGTGTCTAGCGAGTTATGTCAAAACGTCAAGCTAAAAATTATGGATCACGTTATACTTTCCCTTCTGTTGACTGGTCACTTTGAAGAAAAATATTGACTGCAAGGTTAAATTTTTAGGTAAATATTTGCCATCTTTTTCTTCGGACAAAAACTTTGAACTCTTCACTCGGAGTGCAGCACTCCTCCAATAGTTTTCTTTAAACGGATCATTCAACGGAAAAATAAGTGTTATGCAATTCCTAATTTTTGGCCTAATTTTTGAATTTTTGATATAAGCGGCTAAGCAACCCTGTGTAGCTTGAAAAACGTTCCATTATAAGCCAGAAAGTTTGGTTTCAGAAACAAATACCTAGTTACACCAACATACCAAATTTTGTCATGCTTTACTTGCATAGCATTATCTCAAACTACATATCAACCAAACTGAGCAAATAATTGATTACATCAAATTTATTCTGAACGTTGGTCGGTTTTTAGCTTAATTCCCAAAACGGGTAGCGGGTAACGGGTACCCGTGCGGGTACGGGTAGCAGTGCTGCGGGTAGCGGGTCGGGTAACGGGTAGCATTTTCGCTATCCGCGGCAACCCTAGTAGCGGTATATTTGGGTATGCAGAATTTTAGGTATGGGAAATTTGGGTACGACAAAAAATACTTTTCAACAATTGATCTTCGGATGGAAATGTGGTGGCCCTTAAAATGGCCGTTGGTTGTGCGGTAACTAGTACATATACCAAGTCAAAACCATATTGACATTGAATACATGCCTGTGTATATTTCAATGGTTTGAATTTCACCACGGTCACTATTTTAGACCTTCAAACTGTCCTGGGCGTAAAATTCCTGTGGGCGTCAAAAAAATCGTACACGTTCGTATGATAGCTCATTTTTTTCGTGAGGCCTTGCCGCGTCCAATACAAATTATTGGAAAGTCGAAAAAAAATTATCCATGGAGTTTTATTTTTGGCATATCATTTTGAATCTTTAAAAAACTGACCTTTTATCTGTTTGTGACGTTTAAAAATCGACGACGCGGAAATTGTCCGTATATTAACCGGAATTTTAGAAATTGTGGGATCATATCGAAAAAAAAAATTTGTCGCTGCATCTACAATTTTGTTACATATTGTAACTCATGTAATTACTTTGTAAATAATCGACCCTTTTTGTGGGCCACCACATTTTCCGAAGAGCAATTGTGAAAAGAATTTTTTTGTCATACCCAAATTTCCCATACCTAAAATTCTGCATACCCAAATATACTGCTACCCATATTTCCGAGACCAAAATTTCTGCAGACCAAAACTTCTGATACCCATATTTCCTTATACCCAAATTTCCGTACCCAAATTTCCGAGACCAAAATTTCCATATCCAAATTTCCGGGAATCAAGAAAGCTTACCCCTCAGAATCAAACTACTTATCACCAACTCGGGGAGACGTTGTTACCAAATCAATACCGTCACGGAGTGTATATGTATGTACAAATATGATTTCACCACATTTTTAACAGTGCATCTGCCATGTAACCTTTGGAGAAATTTGTCTCGGTGAAGGCCACTGTTTTTTCATATGAACAAATATTCTATCTGTAGTTGCCATCTATTTAGATACATATGTATGTACATACATACATATGTACACTTTTAAGGAACTGATATTAAATCATTACTGGTCTGACGACATTTACATATGTATGTATGCATACATGTATCAGTTGAAAATGAATTGAGGATGAGTTGAGACTCTCAACTTGAGGCAGAAATGCACAACAAAGTTGCATTTTTTATTCCTACATACATTGCATGCAAAATATGTATCGCGTTTGCAGATGCCTACCTTCAACGCCAGGCTCGGATTGTTGGTTCGATACGAATCGCATTGAACTAACAGTTTTTTAGGGCTTATGCAATGCCCTCCCACTCCCAGGATTATTTATAACAAATAATTTTCTATATTAAATGTAAATTAATAAGTAAATTACAAGATTTTTTGCACTTGGGGTGTTTCTTAGGGAATAATTTGGTACTACATATTTATCTATGTAATATAGATTGAGCCATTTTATATCTTTAACTTTTTAAAAGATTCATTCACACCCGACTTGAAGAATTGACAGTTAACTTTGAAAATGTACTGTTTGTTAAATATGTGGGTGGAATTATGTGCACAGTTTTTACACATAAAACATTCATAAAGTTTACATATGCATAAAAGTCTCAAATTACTGAAATAAAGGTTTGTAGTTTTTTGAGTTTTTGAAATTATTGAAATTTTGAGTTGCTGAAAAAAACTGCATACATAATTTCATCCACATATTTACAACATGTTTTCAAAGTTCAAAATTAAGTCAAACTGAATAAATAAACATGCCAGGATAAACTGACAAACATGGGGTGTATCAAATTTATGTATCCCCAAGCAACACTACAAGTGTAAAAAATTGAACAAAATTTGCATACAAGTAAATTTTGTATAAATTCGAGTGTGTTAATGGAAAATAGTGGTGCTCTTTAGGATGACAATTTATTACTTGGTACTGCATTGTCTCTTCGATTCTTCACACCCTGGATAATTTTCAAGAATATTTTAACTAGTTGTGGGGACAATGGCGAAGGCTGGTGGGGGTGGTGGTGCTAATAAGGACAATGCTGCAGGGGTCTACGAGTCTGGGGCAGATCCACGGCTAGATTTTATTTGCGAATATTTAACCAGGTCGTTGAAAATTAAAATGGACAAGTGGCTAAAGTTTGTGATGACGGAAGAATATAGGAATGTGATGAATGATTTTTTTGATATAGCAGAATTTCCGGTAAGCTAAAAAATAGATTGCTAAAAATCGCAAAATAATTAATGCACATTTTCAGTTGCTAGTCATCCAACTGCATAAATTGCTAAAAAATTTCTAATTAGTTAATTTTGCAAATTTTAAATAGGTTTGCATATCATCCGCCGTAATTGCTAAAAATTAATTTGCTAATTTTCAGTTGCTCGTCATCCACCTAAATATGGCAGGGCAACTTGTCGCCTCAGACGCTTACCCGACCACAGGAAAGAACAAGACGTGCTACTTCGTCAAGAAAGACGTCGGTGTAATTCCCCTTGTCAAAGATGATCTGAGCTTTAAAAGGAACTTGATTTATGGAGATTTGTCTCATCAGCCTTTGGAAAATCTCGGGGCCTTCATTGAAAATGTATGTATTTATGGGAGTGAAAAGTTAAATAACTATCAAAAAGTTATGCAAATGTGGAATTACCGGTACTTGTTAACCCCCACGACACGATTCTCAGAAGATTTATGTATTGTTTTGCTTTCTCGTCGATACTCATCGGCTTACGATATACATATTTACTCGGAAGTGTCATCATGCTAATATGGATATATGCTGTCAGAAAACAATTAAGCAAAATATTTTAAATTTCCCTCGTGTATCCATTTAACACAAAATTAGTACAAATTAACAAGTATTTGTATTCTGGTTGTCGACAATGCTGAGGAAAATTTGTACGAATTCGAAAGCTGAAAAATATAGCATTGTCCTCCGATATCGATTCAGATAATATAAAAAACAGATTTTTTACTCCACCATATGAAAATTTCCAACACATATTTCAAACCTGCTCTGAATCATTGCAGGTCATAGGGCCCCTGATAAGGGCGGAAGTCAACCAGCCCAAGTGGCCCGAGGCTGTCGTTGCAGATGTGAAACACCACACGCAAGAGATTTGCGGAGTGTTGTACACCATCCAGGGTCAGCTGAAGGGAAAGACGCTGCTTCCGATGCCCCTCAGTCTGGACGAGATTGATGAAAATGATCGCAAATTGGCTGAGGGGTAAGTAAAATCGATATGTATATTTTTTAGTAATCCATAGATACATTGCTAGATATTTAACTACAGTTACTTAATTTTGCATTCGGACTGAGATTCTAATACTTTCGGAAAACACAGCTACATAAATTCGATGCTGATTAAAATCGACTGTTGCAATTTTCACCACTTAAATTTATATTTTTTATCCAAATTATAAATGTATATATATCAGACTTTGACACAAATTTTCATGATGCTCACGAGCAGAGGGTAATGATTTCTAACTAAATTAATTTCAGTGGTCCAGGGGATGTCGATCAAACCCTGAAAACCAATATCGAGACAATCGTGATAAAATGGAGTCAACAAATTAACGATGTACTGAAGCAGGATTCATCAAAACCACTCGCAACTGGCAATAATCCCACGCCTTTTGCTGAGTTATTGTTTTGGGAGGAGCGTAAGTCGAAATTCCTGCACGATTACACTCTTAAAAATAATGTTGATCCCTTTGAAACGTAAATGCACTCTGAATTCTATACTAAAGCCATACTAAAGCCATACTAAATACTTTACCCTTTATCAAACTAAAGTAAGGAATATATATATAACTGAGATTGCAATTAAAGGGTAACACTATTTTTAAGACTGTAAATCTAGGTCGAAAGCAATTTTTAGACAATTTATCCTTAGGTGTCGATGACCTCCAATGCATCTACGACCAATTGAAGGAAGAAAAAGTCCGAAAAATTGCCAACATCCTAGAACAGACTGGCTCCACTTATTGGCCCTGTTTCAAGTCAATGTTCCGCAACGTGGTGGCCGCACTTGGAGAAGCGCAAGACATCCTGGTCCACTTGAAACCGCTCCGGAAACACTTGGAAAACGTGCAAAATTCCAGTTTCGACGAAGTCCTTAAACACCTTGGGCCCATGATGCATTGCGTCTGTCTTATCTGGGGCCACTCGAAGTACTACTGCTCTCCCGCGAGAATTATCGTCCTCCTTCAAGAAATTTGCAACTTGCTTATCGAAATGGCACGATCTCACTTGGGCGGCAGCGCTGTTTTCCAGATGGAACCGGAAGAAGGCCTCGTCAAATGCACGGCTGTGGTGAATGTTCTCCAACATTTCCGGGAATTGTATGACGCCCACAAACGCGAACTTCCTGCCTACTTTAGGACGGAAGAAGAGGCTAAAAGTTGGGACTTTCTTCCCCACTTGGTTTTCAAACGTTTTGACAAGTTTTTGAATAGGATGAAAAATCTGTTGGTAAGTTAAAACATCAATTTCTCTTAACCGTTGACTTTTAAAATTATCGATGAGCGTACTCACGTCAACCTTCGCATATCTCGCATATCTCGCAAATTGATCATAGCAACATGATTCCCGAAATTGACCCACAATTATTGAGATTTCGCCAACTTTTCCTGGAAAAGCATAGGATTATTTTTTGCAAATTTACCCAGCGAATTACATGTTTCTGTTTCGCAAACTCATCCACATCATCAAGAGAAGTTACAGAATAGAAATAGAACCAAAACAAAATATGCACGTGTTTTTTAGAAATACTTAAATTTGCAGGATTTGCGAATCCCTAAATTGTTAGAACTTTACAAATTTGCTGTTTAAATCAGTTTTTGATGCAAAATACGACTTTGTTCTGAGTATGTACACTATATATATTTTTCCACAATTTTCCAGGTATTTTTCGACACTTCTGTCGAATTTTACAAATTAGAACGAATCGACATTGGCGGAAACAAGGGCAAATTCCTGAGCGCACGGATTAACCAAGTGTATAAAAAATTCATGGAGTTTTACCAAAGGTTTGGCGGCCTTCAGTACGACTGCTCCGATCCGGAGGACGACAGCTTCCTCGCGGATGAAAAACTGTTCCAAGAGAACGTTCTGGACATTGACCAACAACTGTCGGCCATCTTCATGCATGCATTTGACGACTGTCACACGCCAGAGTCTGTCTACAAGTTGATCCTCGCGCTAGGAACGCTGGTCGAGAGACCGCTCATCAAGGAAGATATTGAGCCCAAGTACCCCCAATATGTGGCCATGATTAGTAAAGATCTGGAACAAATTAAGGTAATAGAGACAAAAACGCAGATTAAAACAAGAATAACTCCAGTGCAAGCTTGTGTTAATTATGAAGACGTGAATTTACATGAATTTCGTAAACCTCGCATTTCAACAAGAAAACTTTCATATTTATTTTCCATCGAAACGGGAAAAATTAGAAAAATGTTACCAGGGTTGTAACTTTGAATCATCGCAAATTCTATAAAGCTTTGAACCAATTCACGCCGGCCTTGGTAAAATTGTAAAACTTCCAAATTCTGTAAACTTGCAAACTTTTACACAATTTTATAAATATTTCTTAGGAAAATTAGCTTAGAAATTTTTGAAAATTAAGATCTAATGCGTCTTCTACATATTTTACAAAACTTTGCAAAATTATTTTGCAAAAATTATGGATTTTACAAGCTACCAATCACCGCGTGAATTATCTCATTATTAAGAACCAAGATGTAAGTAATTATGAACATAATTTTTTAGAATATACATACATATGTAAATAGCGAAAATTCCCTAATTCCCCCATTATTTATGTACATATTTAATCTAAAATATCTTCCCCTTCTACACAGGAACAATTTCATCGGACAATAACACCTTTTCAAGTTAATCAACGACTCTTGGCCAACCCAGTCCTGCCCCCGTATTCCGCCTCGATTCATTGGGCTAGAGAAATGCGGGATCGTTGTGACGAGAATATTGAACAGTTCCGCTCACTTGATTTGCAAATTGCGGATAAAGAAGTTGTGAGCAAGTTGAACAAATCATATGAAGAGCTGGACCAAGCGCTGGGCACGTTTCAAACGGAGACTTTTGAAGATTGGAAGAAGAGCGTGGAAGAAAAGGGAGCAGGATGGGTCAAGCAAATGATCTTTAGTCGAGATCCAGACGACAAATCACTCGTAGTCAATTTCAACAGCGAGGTAATTTTGCATGCGTTTTGCATAACTGCAGCCCTATTTGCATATCTTCTTATTTCCTAATTTCCCGTGAAACTAAATAGTGGGAACTGTGGGAAGTATGCAATTAAGCATTTCACGTCAGTCTTCGTAAAGGTAGGAAACTTACGAACTTTTAACGAATCTAACGAACATCTCGAAGGTAATTTTTGCTTATCAACTTACAGAACTTATGTACGTAGACAAAAGGCCTGTTTTTCGTTCGTAAGATGATCTTCATAACTTATGAATCATAAGTTTACGCGGCTACCAACTTACGAAGGTTGACGTGATATGGCTCGATATAAATCATGAGCGGACTAGATGTACACTGAGGCAATTCGCGCAGTCATTAAATGACTGCAAAAATTTGTAACCTAATTTTCCTCAGAAATATTTTTAAAATTTTGTAAAAGGTAGTAAGTTTACAGAATTCACGGATCTCACAATGTTACGAAGGGCTGCGTGAATTGTCGAACTATTTTTTTGGCAAGCAACCTCGCAGATTTGCAATTAAGTAATACGTACAGTTTTCACTAATCTATGTTACCCTTACTGCATATAGCTGTACAGTACGATAAAGGAAGTCAAATATATGGAGTGTGCCGGATTTATGGACATCCCTTCCCTGGCTCGAAAACTACTTGATGAGCAACCCGTATACAGGAAAAATTTACTATTTCTGGACCGGATAGCTTATTCGTACAACCAAATAATCAACAATTCCAATGCTCAGGAACGAGAATTGCTTCACTGCAAAGTGAAAGAAATTGATTCTAAACTTCAAACTGGTATCAACAAGATTACGTGGTCTGATCCTGGTAAGTTGTTTATCTCCAAAGGCTAAGAAAACTGTAGCACCTTAAAGTCCTTATGTACGCCGAAGAGCTCCTAAGTGTGAGGCACTAAATTAAATTTAAATTAAAGTAGATAATTATACATATATGGGAGTGGGATTATTAGAATTGAAGAGTTAGGAGGGTGGTTAAATATTTTGTGGAGATATTTCCGAGATTATTAATTCGTTAGGTTACGCGTATTTTTTTATAGTTTAACGTTAATTCGTGCATAAATTTTGTTGACCTCATGTTAACCTCACGCTAACGATAAGTTTAGCTCCTGCGTGAAAAATTAGCGTACGTACCGTAATTCGCATTCTCCGTATTACTTATTATTTTGCTCCGCTATCATGACTATTTCCTTAATTAAATTACATTTTGAGTGTAAATTTATATCCCAAAATTCATTCCACTTGATACAGGGATTTGGTCCTACATCACTTCTTTAAACGATCCCGTCACCGATGTTGAAGACAGACTTGGAAAATCACAAGATAACGTGAACATTATCAAGAAGATGGTCCAAACCTGGTTGGGCAATCCACTCTTTGAACGGAAAGATGGCAAACGTGAAGCCCTCTTGAACATGGATGAACACGCACACGCCAGAAAACTGAAGCAGTACAAGGGAATTGAAGAAATGACGGTGAAAGTTACAGAAATAGTGGAACGAAACAAGAACCACTTGATGAAGGAAAACACTCCCGACCAACAAAAAACTTGGGATACTTATCTCCAATTCTTGGAGAGCATCGTGTTGGATGGACTTATCAAGACTGTTGCAGTCTCGTATGTTTGCAAACGTTGTTTATGCTAATTAGCTGTACGACTGTATGTTTATGCTAATTTATCTACCATTATTAGGTTTGGCTATCTTGTGGACCACACCGACGGAAATTTGACCCCTTCCCCACTTTTCGAAGTGACGATGGAGTTGACCGAAAACAAGGTCATCTTCACACCTGCTCTCGACTTTTCCGATCCGGGCAGCTTTCTCAACTTGGTGGAAGATATCCTGGCAGACATTAGCCATCAGGGAACTCTGGTCAAACGAGTACGTCCTGGAGAGGACTCTGATTATTTTGTGAGTTACAAACTTTATCACAATAGACAAGTTAAGTCTCATATTTTCCACAATTTTACTAAAACCAATTGCCAAAAATTGGCGCATATAAAAAATGCGCGTCACCTGTCAAAAATTTAACTAATTTCTAATTATTCTCATTAACCTTCTCGTTTATCGTCATGCTAAAATTTTCGCAATTTTCTCACGCCATTTTTTATTCCGTAAATGATTGTACCACTCACGCAGTCATTGATAACTTGTGAAACCTGTGACTGTGTAAACTGTGCAAACCTTATGCAAAATAACTTTACAAACGTTTTCAAAATAAGACGATGCCATTGATCTGAGTAAGCTTACAATAATTTGCAAGCCAATCTTCGTTAGAAATATATGCAAAAATTTGTAAAAGCTTACAGAATTTACGAATTTTAAAATGTTACCATGGACTGTGTAAATTGCCTCATTATGTAGTAAGTACCACAAATTTTTTATACGCTGATCTTTATGCATGTAGACCGACGTAGAAAATTGTCCAGAAATTTCCGAAATGCGATCAGAAATTGAGAACCGAGTTCAAGCCGTAATGAATCAAGCGACCGAATACACTATAAAGTTTGAGCCGTACACTTATCTCTGGGAAGACGACAGGCTCGAGTATCTCAACCAGTTTCTCAGATATGGTCATCAGCTCACAGCGGAGGAAATGGAGGTCAAAAATTCGGGGGAGGAAGAACCTCAAGAATTCTCCGCCCCAACTCTGGAGCAATTTAAACAAGTTGTGAGTAATAATGAAACTGATCAATATTTAATTAAGGCCGGCTTTAATTAAAAATAAGTCAATCATTAATTAATTAATTTTCTTTAATCAATTTCTCCGCTAGATTGACAAGTTTGAAAATCTATACATCGAAGTTGAGAATCTCCCCAGGGAGCATATCTTTGATAAGTGGTTCCGACTGGATATCCGCCCTTTCAGGCAATCGCTCCTTAACACTTGCAAAATATGGAGCTTGATGTTCAAGCAGTACATGATTGACAGTGTTATTGGAGGGTAAGCACATTTCACACTAAATTTTGCGTAAACTATTTGAATACATAAATTATAAAAATTATTGGTACTTAAATAAATGAAATCGAATGGCAGAATTTTGAAGGCATAAATTATCGTGATATTGAAATCCCGTATGCCAGAAATTGTGGCGACGAAAACTTGTACCAGTTTGGTACAATTCCTGCCAAAATGCAAAATAGCATTTCTTAGATTAATTTGTTTCGCATATGCCGCAATTTAAGTAACTTAATTCAACTACGAGTGAAAAAATTAAGCGGCTTTCCTGCAGAAATTATCCAAATTTTCTGCAAAAAAACTTTATGCAGAGCGAATTGTGCATAAAACTGTGCAGAGTAGAATTATGAACACACGGAATAAAATCTCAAAAAAATAACGGCAGGATTACGTAAAAAAAATATGCAGAACGTAATATTGATCGAACTTTTATCGATTACAGTGAAATTTTGTGATTGATTTCTACTCAGGAAATATTAATTCCTCCCTATTGTTATGTCAAATTTTATGTCCACAGGTTGTCCGGTCTCGAGCAGTTTATCACCGAGGCGGACAGCGGTCTCACTCAACCCTTGCGTGAAGGCGACCTTAGGAAACTAATTTCCGTAATGACCTGGCTCCAACAGGTGAAGGACCGACAAGCCACGACAGACACGATGTTCGAACCCATCAAAAAGTATATCGAACTCCTCAAAATGTACGATTACGAACTACCAGAAGCAGTCTTCGTCCAATTAGAAGGTTTGCGCAGAAAAAATTATTATGCAAAATTAGTAGTACTGATTGTACATAACTCTTGCCCAGAATTACCCCAAAAGTGGATAAACTTGAAAAAATTAGCGATTAAAATCAAACACCAAGTCGCACCCCTCCAAGCACAAGAAGTTTCTTCCATCCGGAAACGAATTGCCGACTTTGACTTGAAGCAACACGCGTATCGAGATGTTTTCAGGGTTCTAACGTTTTTCGAGTATGCCATCAAAATTTCCTTATAAAATATGGGCTGTGCTAAATGTAGGATTCTTTATCTCTTTTAGTAAAATGTGTCAGTTCCCATACAAAGAACTTGACAACGCCCACACAGATATTGCTACTTTCAACGCGGAATATGCAGACATTTGTTCGGCTGCGGAACTATTTGAGGTGCACGTTCCTGGTAAATATGAACCAAAATTAGCATGAGGATTATACACCAGTAAATAGGTCGAAAATTAATTATGCCAATCTTTCAGAACCGAAATCGTTACGACAATGCGAAAAGGAAGTCCGCCTCGCAAAAAACATTTGGGACTACACGAACATCGTGGCGTCGTTAATTGAGGAGTGGAAAACTACCAAATGGCTCAACATAAATGTTGAAAGTATGGACTTGGAGGTAATCACGTTGCTCTAAAAATTACGAATATCTCAGAACCCTTACAACAAATTAGTACCAGGGACTATTTATTTATATGTGTTTAATGCAAATTTATACCCCCAATTTATGCAATATTGACGGGATTCATTACGATTTCACATGTTCGCATCGCATCGCAACGTACATTTGTATTTTTGACAACAAAATTGCAAGTTCGCAAATAAATTTTCAAACCAAAATTTCAATTTTTTTGCGAAAGTTGTTAACTCGTAACGAATCCATGAACCCTTTATGGTGTATCACTCGGCGTCTGCCAATACATAATTTGAGACACCTACATAGAATGCCAAATTTGTATTTTTCAATCTTCTTAATTTCCGGTTTCCTTAGTGCAAACGAATGTCGAAGGAAGTGAAAATAATGGACAAGGATGTGAAAGCTTGGGAGATATTTTTCTTGCTCGAGGGCGTAATCAGAAACATGATCTCATCTCTAAAATCGGTGGCTGAGTTGCAAAATCAAGCCATCCGAGAACGCCACTGGGAAGAACTTATGCGTGCAACGAAGGTAAATTTCGTAAATTTGTAAGAAACACACGTCGTTCTAATTAAAATGTATTTATGTATTTATTTTGATTTTTTATTCAAAACGTAAGATTTGGCCACGATTGTACAAAATGCTAATCGTAAGTCTGAAGTCCATTTCAAATTTCTGCTTGAACAAAATTTACTGAAATTAATTCACTAACTTGATAATGAAATCATTATCAAGAAATTTAAATATAACGCATTTGGAAACCCTGTCTAGTTAAAATTCTCCGTGGACGAATCCACCACACTGGCTGATCTTTTGGCCCTAAATCTTCACAATTTTGAAGAGGAAGTCAAAAACGTGGTGGATAAAGCAGTCAAGGAAAATTCGATGGAGAAGACGCTAAAAGATTTAGATGGAACTTGGTGATTTTTTATTAGTTATTTTGAAGTCAGACTTGTTTGCTGACCACGTCTAATAATTATGACGCAGGTCTGCTCAGGAGTACGAGTTTGAACTGCATTCTCGAACGCAAACTCAACTAATCAAAGCGTCCGAAGAACTTATTGAAATTCTTGAAGACAATCAAGTCCAATTGCAGAATATTGCCATGTAAGTCAATACAGATATTTCTAAGGATAAGTATGTAAATTTGTTCGCTGAGCGGTAATGCCGAATTTTGAATCTGCATTTTACGTATTTAAATTGCTCCATAATTTTTGTCAAACATCATTTTTCTCCAGGTCGAAATTCATTGGATTTTTCCATGAAGAGGTCGAGTTTTGGCAGAATCGTCTCTTCATGGCCGATCAGGTAGAGAAATCCAGTCATGAAATTGTACCAAATCCTTTCATGCTTAAATATATTATCTCTCCACAAGGTTCTCGCCGTGTTGGGAGAAGTTCAGCGTACATGGTCACACTTGGAATCCATTTTTATTGCTTCGGAAGACATCCGGAAAAGTCTACCCGTAGATGCTGCCCGATTTGATAAAATTGATCGAGATTTCAAGGTTCTTTCCCTCCCAAGCTAGCAAAAATGTCTTGAATTTACTAATAAATTGCTTCCCTTCACAGAATACACTTACCAAATTGTACTCTACCAAAAACGTCGTGCAAGCCACAAACCAACCCGGAATCCTGCCAGACTTAGAAGTTTTGCAGAAAGAACTAGCCCTTTGCGAAAAGGCGCTTGCCGACTACTTGGAAACGAAGCGATTGGCATTTCCCCGCTTCTACTTTGTCTCATCGGTCGATCTCTTGGACATTTTGTCAAACGGGAACGAACCCGAGCAGGTTGCGCGACATCTCGCCAAACTATTTGATGCGATGGCCAACTTGGATTTCAAAAAGGGGGACGGCGTCAAGAAGGAGGTGCCCACGAATGCGATCGGAATGAGGGCAAAGGATGGGGAAGTAGTCCAGTTTAATAGTCCGTGTGACTGTACTGGTGCTGTTGAAGTGTGGCTGTGTCGACTGGAGGAAGCAATGAGGGCCACGGTTCGGAACTGTTTCTCCGAAGCGGTCGCCGACTATGAAGGCAAACCTAGGGACATTTGGATCCAGGTATGCATGCGCAAGGACACTAATACTGTATTACTGTTTCCTTGATTTTTTGTGGCTTTAAATTCCGATTTTGATGCAAAAAATTGCCATTTTTTCATAAATATTTTGCTTATCCGAAACTATGGAGAAATTCATTACGAGCTCGCATCGTTAGCAAAAAATTCCCAAGTTTGCAAAAAAATTGGCTTAAAAATTAATTTAAGAACTTACGCATCTCCAAGGCTAGTAGTTAGTTCGCAATTTTTTTGCAAAATTATGTCCCGAGGAGAATATGCGAATTCGTAATGAATACCCCCAATAAAACATGGGATGATGGTTATACAATTTTGTCTTTTGTGCAGTCTCTCATAATAAGTCGGTTCTATCTCGTTTAAATTACAAACAATAGCTATGATATAGGGTGCCAAAATGTGAAAGAAAAGCGATTTGTTCCAAACACATGCAAATTTAAAAATGTATATATTTCCCATTATCAGGACTTTCCTGCCCAAACTGCCCTTTGCGGCACGCAGATCTGGTGGACCACCGAGGTCAATGCTGCTCTCGGGAAGCTTGAAGAAGGCTACGAGAACGCGTTGAAAGACTACCACAGAAAACAAGTGAACCAACTAAACACCTTAATCGGACTTTTGATCGGCCAACTAACGTTCCAAGAGCGTCAAAAGATTATGACCATTTGCACAATTGATGTCCATTCACGAGACGTTGTGCTAAAATTGATCGCTCTGAAAATCGAGACGGCTCAAGCCTTTCCATGGCAGAGTCAATTGCGACATCGCTGGGATACTGCGGAGGGTGATTGTTTCTGTGAGTGCGTAGAATTATAGTTCGTATTTTTACAAGAGACAATTATTTCTAAAAAGTTGAGTGGCACGTGTATGCAAAGTGGATTTTCATGCTACTGTTCATCTGAAAAAAGTGTGGCCCTAGAAATTCTGAAAGATTACCTGGCGGAATTTTTCTATTTTTCTTATTTTATCAATTACAAAAATTTATTTCAGTGTCAAAATTCAAACGTTGCTACGATATTCCCTAAAATTACGATAGCTGCCAGGTAACCTTTTAGAGAAATTTGGCTCGGCGAAGGCCACACTTTTTCACATGAACAGTAGTAGTCTCATTTTCATATTTTGACACATAAGCGAGAGACAGAGTTTATTCAATATGCTGTATCTCCGCAAATGGGCATGGTGAAATTTATGCAAATGGGATAACGCACAATTCACCACAATGCAAAACCAATAATAATTATTACTTATTACTTGCGAATTTAGCAAACATCTGCGACGCCCAGTTCAAATACTGGTACGAATATCTCGGAAATACCCCACGTCTCGTAATTACTCCTTTGACGGACAGATGTTACATCACGTTGACGCAATCTCTTCACTTAATCATGGGTGGAGGGCCGGCAGGTATCATGAGAAAGATGCAATTTTCTATAAAGTATTTTATCCTGGATAAAACAATTCATGTCTGACCAGGCCCTGCAGGAACTGGGAAAACTGAGACGACGAAAGATCTCGGGCGAGCGTTAGGCATGATGGTCTACGTCTTCAACTGTTCGGAACAAATGGACTATCGGTCGATCGGAAATATTTATAAGGGATTAGCACAAACCGGAGCGTGGGGTTGTTTCGATGAGTTTAACAGGATTTCTGTAGAAGTCTTGTCCGTCGTAGCGGTGCAAGTCAAATCTATCCAGGTAAATAAATATGTACAGAGGTTGCCCTAGAATATGTACGAATTTTTGACATTTTTTTCCTACAATATGATGCTGCCTATTGCCGAGTTTTCTACTATTTTTTGAGTTGCTCTACCGATTTTTGCAACAAATTTGAATTTTATTAACCTGCCTGTTTAGCACTCAAAAATTCATACAGAAATTTTTAATTGAATTTTTTATGCATCGTTCTGTGCAGGACGCAATTCGAGATAGAAAAACCCGTTTTGTCTTCATGGGTGAAGAAATTCGATTAATTTCAACCGTCGGACTTTTCATCACGATGAATCCAGGTTACGCTGGACGTTCAGGTGAGGCAACGGCTTTGGTTATCCATTTTAACAAAGAAATTTGGAAAAATGTGAAACATTTCTAAAAATGTGCATTTACAGAACTCCCCGAAAACTTGAAAGCTCTGTTCAGACCATGCGCCATGGTGGTACCGGATTTTGAACTCATTTCTGAAATCATGCTGGTCGCCGAAGGTTTTCAAAGTGCGCGCGTACTTTCTCGTAAATTTATCACGCTGTACACCCTGTGCAAGGAGTTGCTCTCTAAACAAGACCATTACGATTGGGGGCTACGCGCCATCAAATCTGTCCTTGTGGTGGCGGGATCTTTGAAGGTGGGTCGCTGATTTGAAAAAAATACTTCAGTTTTTCATATTTTAGAAAATTTTACTCGCAGCGAAGTGACCCTGATCGTCCCGAGGATCAAGTACTCATGAGAGCGCTGAGAGATTTCAACGTCCCAAAAATCGTTGCCGACGACATCCCCGTATTTATGGGTCTCATCGGAGATTTATTCCCAGCTCTGGATATTCCTCGTAAAAGAGATCTCGAGTTTGAGAAGAATATTCGGGTGGCCACGCTCCAACTTAAACTGCAGCCGGAAGATAATTACATCCTGAAAGTTGTCCAGCTCCAAGAGTTGATTGACGTGCGACATTCAGTTTTTATCATTGGAAATGCGGGGACAGGGAAAAGTCAGGCAAGTACATATATACATACATAAATAATATATACGTCCCCGAACGAGTCCCTTTTACGCAATGCTTGGTAATACTGTGAAATCCTTAAAATGTAACATGTAAACTTACAAAGTTTTACGAAGATTTTGAGGGAAATTTTTGTAATTTTACATCATATTCAGATCAAGGGCGTCTTTTTACATATTTGTAAAATTAATTTAGAAAATTTGCGAATTTTTTACAAGTTACAACGACTGCATAAAAATATTTATTTAATACCGTGAACTCATTCTAAAATGATGATCCTATTGTACTATTTTTCCAGGTGTGGAAGACACTTTATCGTGCCCATCAAATCATGAAGCATCGTCCCATGTACACAGATTTGAATCCAAAAGCTGTCACGAATGACGAGCTCTTTGGCATCATTAACCCTGCAACCAGAGAATGGAAGGATGGTACTGTTTCAAACATTTTGCAATATTTTGAGACCTCGTGCAACAAGCCAGACTAAATAATTCACCAATAATGACATCTTAAAGGCATCTTTTCCGTGATCATGCGGGATCAAGCGAATCTTACGGGTGATGGGCCCAAGTGGATCATCTTAGATGGTGACATTGACCCCATGTGGATTGAGAGTTTGAATACGGGTAATTACATAAGTAATTGTTTTTAATTGTCCCTTAGTAATTTACTTAATTATCTATGTGTACTTTTTTTAGTAATGGATGACAATAAAGTGCTCACATTGGCCAGTAATGAACGAATTGGTAAGTCATTCATTATAAGTAGATAAATCGAGACAGCAAACATGTAATAAACATTTTACAAAATTTACAGCGATGACAAAAATGATGCGTCTCGTCTTCGAAATCTGGACGTTGAGAGTCGCAACGCCCGCGACTGTATCAAGAGCTGGAATTTTGTACCTCAACCCGCAGGATTTAGGCTGGCAACCGTAAATAAATTTGCATAATCTATTCCTCCTTGTACGCATTCGTTACTAGTTCCAATCGTGACAAGATATTTGAAATTTATCAACTTTACATAATATTGTAACTGAACGCAAGAGCAAAATTTAATAGCAAAGATTCAAATTTTTTTTGGTGATGTAAATATTTTTTCTGAGTGGTGTAACCTTATAGCAAAATCCACCCAGAGAGAAATTTGCTTAATTTTGAACCAATTTGTGCAGATATGTCGCCAGTTGGATCGAAAAACGTGACAGTCCCGCAGAAAAGGCGAACTTGACCATTTTGTTTGACAAATACGTTCCCACGGTTGTAGAAATGAACAAAACCAGATTCAAGAAAATTACCCCAATTTCTGAAATCACGCATATTGAACTGCTCTGCAATCTGTTGGACTGCACCATCACGCCAGACACGTGTCCCACGGATTGTCCCAAAGAGTGGTACGAAGTCTACTTTGTCTTCTGCACAATCTGGGCCTTCGGATCGGCAACTTATCAAGATCAACTTTTGGATCATCGTGTCGACTTTTCCAAGTGGTTTCAAAACGAGTTCAAATTCGTCAAATTTCCCTCTGGTGGAAATGTGTTTGACTTTTACATTGGTGAGTTCTATTTTTTTAATATGTACTTCTTTGGAATATGACATATGAATGGTACGTAGACAATTATGTATTAATAATAGAAAAAAATTAATTTTCGTGTTAGGGCATACAAAATCGGAAGATTTTGAAAAAACTGGTTTTCGATTATTTCGATTTTAGCGATTAGGTATTCAAACTAATTTTCGTTTATACCGATTTTGGGGAATTTTAGTAAACCGGTCATCTATTCTGTGCAAAATCGATTTTACTCCGAATTTTAAATAAAGTTCGTAAATATGTATGGGAAGCTAAAATTTAAAACAAAATTAAAATTAAAAATACACATATTTCAGAATGCATCAAATAAAAATTAATTTATATAGATATCGAAACCAAAAAGTTTTTGCCTTGGACCGATCTTGTCCCAAAGTTTGAGTTGGATCCTGACCTACCCTTGCAGGTACGGCCTTTCTGCATATTTGTACATTAAATTTTTGTACTACCACATAAAAACTTTCTCCACGGAAATTTGCAGGCGGCTTTGGTGCATACCGCTGAGACTACACGTGTCAAATATTTCCTGGACATGTTGATGGCTCGTGGTCACGCAGTGATGCTCGTGGGTGGGGCTGGTACTGGAAAAACTGTCCTAATCAATGACAAACTTGCCGCCCTGTCAGATTCCTATGTAATTTGCAATGTTCCCTTCAATTTCTACACGACATCCGAAATGCTTCAACGAGTCATGGAGAAACCGTTGGAGAAGAAAGCAGGCAGAAATTATGGTCCACCGGGAAACAAGAAACTTATTTATTTCATTGATGATATGAATATGCCCATGGTAAGGATTTAAGGAGAAAAAAATTCCCACCAATATTTACTGCGAGAACAGCCCGAGTAAAAATTTAGAAGCATTTCCTGCAGAAATTTGGCATGCATGTACAAATTTGGCACATTTTCAGCAGAAATTCTTGTGCAGAAAACTATGCGCGAAGAATTATGCACATATGTGTGTACCCAAGGCGGTGAACAATTATTGTAGTTATGGAGAGAAGTATACCAGGTGCTGACAGGTGACATTATTTTTTCGAAAAATTGAAATTTTTAAGAGTTTGGGAAACTCTGATTTTTAGGTGGTTGCGATGCGTTGGTAGGTCACTGGAAATGGTAACAAATATGAAACTCTGAGAGGAAATATTCTGAGTAAATATGAAATATCTCCCAAATTTTCAGTTTTTCAGGAATTTCACAGCCAATTCTTATGTCACAAAATTCTATAATATATCAAATTGATCGTATGATCTAGACTGATTGATTGACACCCCATTCAGTGTGTTGTGGGCACTTGACCCGGATTTGATCTTTAGGGGGTCATTTCGATCTTCCAACTTAGCAACGGTCCACCCACACCATTTTTTTCAACTTCGGTCATCAGTTCTGTGATGAATGTTCAATCGAGGTGGACTTTAAAAAATTTGAAAAATAAGAATTGGCTGTGAAATTCCTGAAAAACTGAAAATTTGGGAGATATTTCATATTTATTCAGAACATTTCCTCTCAGAGTTTCATATTTGTTACCGATTTGCGGATCTTTGCCCCCCATTAAAACCTACCCATGAAATGCTACCCATTATATGCTACCCGTGATGATCTGCTATCCATGAAATGCTACCCATTTAATGGGTAGCATTTCATGGATAGCAGATCATCACGGGTAGCATATAATGGGTAGCATTTCATGGGTAGGTTTTAATGGGGGGCAAAGATCCGCACACCTTTGTTACCATTTCCAGTGACCTACCAACGCATCGCAACCACCTAAAAATCAGAGTTTCCCAAACTCTTAAAAATTTCAATTTTTCGAAAAAATAATGTCACCTGTCAACACCTGGTATACTTCTCTCCATAACTACAATAATTGTTCACCGCCTTGGTGTGTACCGTTCTGCAGAATTAATCTCACAAAAATTCTCGGCAGGATTATTAAAAAAAATATTTAGAACACAATATGCATCAAACTTGTCGATTATCTACTGAAGAATTCGATACAGTGATCTATACTCGGGTTGTTAGTGAAAAAACACAGCTAATTCCCTAATTTTAGCAACACTTAAGTAATTACATACACATTAAACTTGCACATTTTTCAAGGTTGACGCATATGGCACTGTGCAACCCCACACTCTAATTCGACAACACTTGGACTACGGCCATTGGTACGATCGGGTCAAACTTTCCCTCAAGGATATTCACAATGTGGGATATGTCAGTTGCATGAATCCCACCGCGGGTAGTTTCACAGTAAGTTGTACTCACAATAGATTTATAAATTTACATAAAATTTTACAACATAATTACGTATGTATTAATCGAATTTTTTAATTTCTCTCTTTCACAGATCAACCCCAGATTGCAGAGACATTTTGCCGTCTTCTCGTTATCCTTCCCAGGACAGGAGGCAGTACATTTCATCTACAAAACCATCCTGCAGCAGCACCTGGCCTCTCAAAATCATAAATTTCCACAAAACGTGATCAAAATTTGTGCAAACGTGGTTAATGCAGCGCTTGCGCTACATAGCAAAGTAGCGTCAACCTTTTTGCCGACCGCGATAAAATTCCATTACGTCTTCAACCTGAGAGACTTGAGCAATATTTTTCAAGTAATTTGCATATTTACTTATCTAGATATTCCTCAATTAGTAAGATTAGGTTTTCTAAGGGATGCTATTTCAGTGGGATAAGATTTTCGAACTATTCCCGTTCCTTGGAACTCCTAAACTAACTTCATCCAAATATTTTCCGGTTTATAACATTCTAAACAAAACTTTCTTTCCTTACTTTTTCCAGGGCGTTCTTTTCAGTACTTCCGATTGCCTTCAGAACCCTTTGGATTTGGTGCGTCTCTGGCTGCACGAGGCGAGTCGTGTGTACGGGGACAAACTAGTGGACGACAAGGACATCACCACATTTGGTAAAATGATCAGCGACAATGTCAAAAAGTCTTTTGAGGTAAGGTCACCTATTCCAAGGTATTACAATACATATTTATGTACATACAGTGGAATTACTTGTGCGTGTCACTTCATTTGCATAAATCTCACTGTGCCCGTTTACGGGCTTTCCATATGTTGAATAAACTCTTTGTCTCTCGCGAAGGCGTCAAAATATGTATGCAAATGAGGTGACTAGCATAAATAATTTTATGGAACCCTTCCATATTTAATGCAGCATGTCAATTGTTGTCATGTTAATTAATTAATTCCATGTCCTACTGCATCTTCCTAGGACGATGACAGATTTAAAAAAGTCTTCGCATATCCGTGGGTATCTATGCTAATTTAAAGAGTGTTTACTTACATTTGTAGCGAGTTAGTGAAAACAATCACCATTTTTACTCTCTCTTTACTTGCCTGATCACATTTTATCGAGCTGTTTGCATGAATTCTTTGTAATGCATGTAAATATGTCTGCTGAAAATAGTAGATATGTAGGCTACAATTTCTTAGCAAAATAAGAAAAATATGATTTGCGCGAAATTTAAGTTTGTGACTGGTCCATTAGTAAAAAGAGATATCGAGCCGTAACAAATTTGAACTTCGCGCAAATCATGATCACTGCTGATGAAGGAGGATTGTGCCACGCATGATACAGCCTCATTGTACTAACTATCCAGCATACATACACTGTTAGGAATCTAGTATAAATAATAACGCTTTAATTTCTCGGTATTAAAGTAGCTACCGCTTGGTACTTAAATTATACCCCTCCGTAAAAACTTGCTACTAATAAATATGGTAAAACTTTAATACCGAGGTATTAATACATATTTATATACACGGTATCACTTATCAATTTTACTTTGGTAGAATCATATAAAAATACCGCTTGGTACTAGTTGGTACTATTTTTTAATACTGGATTTTTAAGAGTGTAAATATTTACGAAATACTTATGTATTTAGTGTATTGCATATCTATTAACCAAAGTAAAATTAATTGTGACGCTTATGTATGCATGCATTTTTTGCATGAAGAATGGTTTTTAACAAATTAATTATACTACGAGATGCATTGTCAAATTAAAAATGTGAATAATGTACATATTTTTCTAGGATATTGAGGAAACCAGTGTTCTTGTGAAGCCATTGATTTACTGTCATTTCGCGCAAGGGATGGGCGATCCAAAATATATGCCAGTTACGGACTACAATCTCCTCCAAAGACTGCTCATAGACGCGCTGAAATCGTACAATGAGTTCAACTCCATCATGAACCTCGTCCTTTTTGACGACGCGGTCAACTATATTTGCAAAATCAGCAGGATCCTTGAATCTCCAAGAGGAAACGCGCTACTCGTCGGGGTCGGGGGGAGCGGTAGGAAAATTATGTTAAGTAGATGTGTGAGTTATTTAAATGTAAATAATTATAATATCAATTCAGGAAAACAAAGCTTGAGTCGGCTTGCAGCCTTCCTCTCAGGGTTGGAAGTGTTTCAGGTTGCTCTACGAAAAGGTAGGCAATTTTCGACTCACCAAGGTTTTTGGGTTGCTTGGGGATTAATGTGATGCTGATTGCTGATACATATAGGTTGTGTCAGTTAGGCTAATTTTTCAAAATTTATGCCTATACAGAGCGTAAATTTTGCGATTTCTCCAAGTTCGGATTTTTTAGTTAAAAAAATTCAATTATATAAACTGGGCACAACCTGTATTAGCATCGAATTAATCCATAGATCGCCCCCTCCCCCATTCAGTGTGCGAAATCTTGTGTCCTAACCTAGAAAAATAATACTGCCCTCAGCCAAGCTAAAACATCATGCATAGTTAAAAAACATTTGCGTGGTTTGCCAAATGAGTGACGTGAACGGACGAAAAGCTCATTGCAAATTTTCATAAGCTTACATACGTCTACCTTTACATTGCTTAAGGTTTGTTTTCAATAATTTGAATTCAAAACTATGTAGGGGAAACAATATGTTTTGCGAAATTATTATTTTAACAAAAATGGCATGACAAATTAAGAGATTTCACCAAAACTTCTTGATCCGTCTAATACTTGTATACTTTTTGACCTTGCAAGGATACTGCGTTCAAGATTTGAAAAACGACCTTGCCAACTTATACATCAAAGCGGGTCAGAAGAACATGGGGAATATGTTTTTGATGACGGATGCTCAAGTCGCAGAAGAAGAATTCCTCGTCGTCATTAATGACATGCTGGCCTCCGGGGAAATTCCCGACCTTCTGCCGGATGATGAAGTAGAAAACGTCATTTCCAGCATGAGGACAGAAGTGAAAACTGTCGGACTGGAAGATACGAGAGAAAATTGCTGGAAATTTTTTATCGAACGAGTCCGCAAAGTGCTAAAGTGCGTCCTGTGCTTCTCACCGGTTGGAAGCACGCTCCGAACACGGTCACGAAAGTTTCCTGCCGTTGTCAACTGCACGTCCATTATTTGGTTTCAAGGTGGGTTTTTGAAGTGTTATTTATAAGTGGTAGATAATAACGAAGTGGGAAAAATGAGAAATTTGTTAGTTTTTATCTTTGGGTTTTGCACATAGGGGATCCAAAACCGGATGATTTTGGAGCCGTATTTTAAAATACAATTTTGTAAATTCTTGTAAATTCTGAAAAATTTGAAATCTAAAAAAAATTAGACGTTAAATTTAAAAAAAAATGTTTCAGCATAGAATACTTCTTAAATGAAAATCAAGAAATGGTAAATAGTAGCTCTAAAACAATATTTATTATAAAACAAATCGAAAACCGGCTTTTAGGGAAAACTTAAAAATAGTTTTCAGTTAAATCGAAAACCCGTTTTACAAAATCTAAAAAAACGGTTTTGGAAGCCCTAGTTCCACATTTTTCCAGTCGTCGCTCTCTCATTTTTCCCCACTTCTCTCACTTTGACTTTACGAAAAATTGGCAATATGAAATTTTGAAATCACGCCATTATAATTCCAATGTATAACCCACAGGTTGGCCCGAAGAAGCCTTGATGTCAGTCTCACAACGATTTGTGAAAGACATCCAAGTCCTTCCGCACGATCTGCTCGATCCGATCGCCTCCTTCATGGCGTACGTCCACTCCTCCGTTACCGAAACGTCCAAAACCTACCTGGCCAATGAGAAACGCTACAATTACACGACTCCGAAATCTTTCCTGGAACAAATCGACTTGTACGGAAAGCTCGTAACGAGCAAAAACAAGGAAGCCTTCGCCAAGGCGGAGCGTCTCGAGAGCGGGTTAACCAAGTTGGAATCCTGCGCTCAGCAGGTCGAAGGCTTAAAGAAAGTCCTCGCCGTGCAGGAAGTCGTCCTCAAAGAGAAGAATGAGAAAGCCGATCATTTAATTCAAGTCGTTGGTGCAGAAACTGCAACCGTTTCCAGTGAGAAAGAAAATGCGGCGAAGGAGGAGAAAAAAGTCGCCGTCACGGCCACTGAAGTCTCAAAGATTAAGGAAGTCTGCAGAATCGAGTTGGAGAAGGCAGAGTGAGTTATTGATTTATAAATCTATCCTCGATGCAAGTCATGCAGTCGTTAGTAACTTGTATATAAACTCTATAAATTTCGTAAAATAATTTACAAACTTTTCTAAGATAAAAAGACGCCCATGTTCTGAGTAAGTTTGAAAAAATTTGCAAACTTGCAAATTTACCAATTTCCCTTAGAAATGTGTAAGAAAGTTTGAAAATTTACAGAATTGATGGTTTTACAATGTTACCTAGGCCTGCGTGAACTATCACTATTTTTACATAAAGATCGGAGTTCATGTTTTGGGTTTTTTTTTTATTTTGCCAATAATTTCACTTTGGCAGACCCGCCCTACAAGCTGCCTACGCCGCTTTGAATACTTTGAACAAAGCTAATTTGACAGAGTTGAAGACCTTTACCACCCCTCCGCCAGACGTGGTCAGTTGAACTATCTACTTTAAATCTTTTATAGAGTAGAGTTAAAGTTAACTTTCTACAAGTGTAATAGATAAATACATAATCATTACTGAATATATTTGTATTTATCTAGGTGAACGTAATTTCAGCCGTGTACATTTTATGGGAAGCTACGCGGACTGGGAAAATTCCCAAGGATAAATCCTGGAAAAATGCAAAGCAGTCAATGATGGGAGATATTGCAAAGTTTTTGGATGGATTGATGAATTTAGAAAAGGAAAAGATAACTACGGCAATTGTATGACAAAAAAAATATTTGAAAAATATATGTTGTATGTACAGGGTGATTCAAAGAAGACTTCACGTGGAGAAATTTTCGCAGAAATTTCTCAATTATTTCCAAAAAAAGCTCACAAAATTCTAATATTTAGTATTTGTCAAGCAATCGTGGACACCATTAATTTAAAATTAACAGATTTTCATTGCAATTTGAAAACATTTTTATATCTTTTTGTTTGAAATTGTTGAAAAATAGCTGCAAAAATTTCTCTATGTGATTTCTTCATCTTTCAACCACCCTTTATATTTAAGATATTCATGATTTTAAACGTTTTTTAGGTTGAAGCCATGAAACCGTACACAGAAGCGCCTGGGTTTGACCCGGAAAATATAAAGTCTAAATCATTTGCAGGTACATACATACATACACAATTTTACACAATAGTTATGATTCCCCAAAAATGTTACGATTCTGACAAAAAATACTTTTAAAGTCTACAAATATCGAATATAAATTATTCCATGATTGCAATTTTTGCAGCTGCTGGTCTCTGCTCTTACGTTGTGAATGTACTTCTATTTAACGACGTGTTCCAAGAAGTAGGTAAGTAAAAGCGGGAAATTCAAAAGTATTAATTTATCAATACACACACTTGTGAAATATGGGTAACTTTCTTCTAGCCCCGAAACGTCGCGCTCTACAAGAAGCGACCGACATCCTAAACAAAGCCCTTGATCGTCTCAACTACCTCAAAAACCGAATCACCGAGTTAGAAGACAAACTCAACATTCTCACCGAAGAGTACGACGTAGCCATCGAAGCGAAACAGAAATGTCAAGCTGAAGCGGACAAAACCGCGTTAACCATCGATCTCGCCAACCGCCTCGTCGGCGGGTTAGCCGCCGAAAAATCGCGCTGGGTTCAAAACGCGCAAAACTATCGATCCAGCACAATCACCATTCCCGGCGATATGCTCCTCGTCACCGCGTTCGTATCTTATCTTGGCTGTTTCACCAAACAATACCGCGTCGATTTACTTGACAACACGTGGATCCCATACTTACGTCGGTTGGAACCCCCCATCCCCATGTCCGCCTCCGTCGATCCGCTGAACATCCTCACCGACGACGCTGAGATCGCTCAATGGAACAATTTTGGTCTCCCCAGCGATCGGATGTCCTCCGAAAATGCGTCCATCCTAATAAACTCGCAGCGCTGGCCGCTCATGATTGATCCTCAACTACAAGGCATCAAATGGATTAAAAGCATGGAAGCGGGAAATTTGAAGGTTATCCGTCTCGGGCAAAAAGGCTACTTGGACATAATCGAAGACGCCATCACGAAAGGGATCACCATCCTGATAGAAAACATTATGGAAAACGTGGACCCCGTGCTGGAGCCACTTCTCGCCAGAAACCTTATCAAGAAAGGAACCGCTATAAAAATTGGGGATAAAGAGATCGATTACAATCCATCTTTTAGGCTCATCCTTCAAACCAAGCTGGCTAATCCGCACTACAAACCGGAAATGCAGGCGCAAACGACCCTGATAAACTTTACCGTGACCCGAGACGGCTTGGAGGACCAGCTGCTTGCCGAAGTCGTAAAGGTCGAGAGGCCCGATCTCGAAGCGCAAAAGTCCGACCTGACCAAACAGCAGAACGAGTTTAAAATCTTGCTGAAACAGCTGGAAGACGATTTGCTGACAAGGTTGCAATCTGCCCAGGGTAACTTTTTGGATGATACGGCGCTCGTCGAAAATTTGGAGACGACGAAAAGAACGGCGCAGGAGGTGGAAGTCAAGGCGAAAGAAGCGGTCGTCACGTCGCGCAAGATTGACGCGGCGAGAGAACTCTACCGTCCCGCAGCGTGCAGGGCGTCGCTCCTTTACTTCATTTTGAACGATCTTAACAAAATTAATAAGATTTACCAATTTTCCTTGAAGGCGTTTTCCACCGTTTTTCAAAATGCGATCAAAACCGCGCCACAGGCGGGCGACGTGGCGAAAAGGATTGACAATTTGATCGACTCTATCACACATTCGGTGTGGGTGTACACGGCGCGCGGGCTGTTTGAGTGTGACAAATTGATCTTTACGACACAGATGGCGTTTGCCATTCAGCTGCAGAGGGGAGCGATTCAGGCGAAGGATTTGGATTTTCTGTTGCGTTTCCCCATCATGCCGAATGTTACGAGTCCGTTGGAGTTTCTGAGTAATACGAGTTGGGGAGCGGTTAAGAGTTTGTCGAATTTTGATGAGTATAAGTAAGCAGATAAGTATTTCCTCATATTTAATAGTTCACCACAATACATACATTTAACCGGTTTGACGTCACAGAGTCTCAAGTTATACATTTTAGTGATAATAATGCGTTTTGAATTTTCAGAAACCTTGATCGCGATATCGAAGGATCTGCTAAACGTTGGAAGAAAATCGTCGAGTCTGAATATCCCGAAAAAGAGAAGCTCCCACAGGACTGGAAGAACAAACAAGGCGTTCAAAGACTTTGCATAATGCGAGCGTTGCGACCTGATCGAATGGTAATTTAAATCTACCGCCTATTTTAAGGTACTATTTATAAAATGTTACGACCGATAATTATGTTCTTAGACCTACGCCATGACCGTATTTATCGAAGAATCGCTTGGCCCCAAGTTTGTGAGGTCGAGACGAATCGATTTTGCGAAATCGTTCGAGGAAACTTCAAACACAACTCCGGTCTTCTTTATTCTCTCGCCCGGCGTAGACCCTCTCAAGGTTTGTCTTTCAATCAACGGATTTATTCAAATTATTTACCCACTATTTACCTTTCCAGGATGTGGAAGCGTTAGGAAAAAAATTGGGCTATACCATGGACAAGGGCAACTTTCATAACGTATCGTTAGGCCAGGGCCAAGAAATCGTGGCCGAAAATGCGTTAGAAATCGCGGGAGAGAAAGGACACTGGGTCATTTTACAGAACATTCACCTCGTAGCACGATGGCTGGCAAAACTTGAGAAAAAATTGGAACAAAATTGGGAACGTTCCCACAAAAAATATCGCGTCTTTCTCAGCGCAGAACCAGCATCCACGCCAGAGTCGCATATCATTCCGCAGGTTTGTTATTCTTCAGATCATTTTGACACCAAATTTATGTAAATCACATCCATTTCAGGGAATATTGGAATCATCCATCAAAATTACAAACGAACCCCCAAGCGGAATGCTGGCAAATTTACACAAGGCGTTAGACAATTTCTCACAAGATCAGCTCGAATCCTGCTCCAAGGAGTTGGAGTTTAAAGCAATTTTATTCAGTTTGTGCTACTTCCAGTAAGTTTTTTTCTGTAAAACTTGTAAAAAAATTTCTCACATATTTGGCACACAAGTTCGACTTTTTCCACAATACTTAGCGCGGTGGTCGCGGAACGAAGAAAGTTTGGCACCCAAGGTTGGAATCGTATCTACCCCTTTAACACGGGCGATTTGACCATTTCCGTCAACGTTCTTTACAACTACTTGGAAGCAAATCAGAAAGTTCCATGGGAGGATTTACGCTATCTTTTCGGCGAGATCATGTACGGCGGCCACATAACGGACGACTGGGACAGGAAACTTTGCCGAACCTATTTGGAAGAGTATATGGTCCAGGAATTGGTGCGGCACCAAATTAAAATCACAAACAAAATCCGAATGTTTCATTATATTTTTTAAAAACATTAGCTTGACGGAGAGATCAATTACGCCCCCGGCTTCGCAGCCCCGCCCAGCACGGATTATCAAGGCTACCACTCCTACATGGATGACGTACTTCCGCCAGAATCCCCAATTTTGTACGGACTCCACCCCAACGCAGAGTTTGGCGTGTTAACGGCAACTTCGGAGAAATTGTTTAAAACTATTTTCGAACTGCAGCCTCGTGACGCGGGGGCGGCGGGGAGTCAATCGGTCACGAAAGAGGAGAAAGTATGAGTTTAAATTTAAATTTATTATTGAGAATTATGTTCATATTTATTTGAATATTTTTGGCGACTAGACGAAGCAAATTCTGGACGACATTCTGGACAAGTGTCCCGATCCTTTCGTCATGTCTGAAGTTGTCGGTCGCGCGGAAGAGAAGACGCCCTACGTTATTGTCGCCTTGCAGGAATGTGAACGCATGAACACGCTGATTATTGAGCTTCGTCGCTCCTTGAAAGAATTAGATCTCGGATTAAAGGTTGAAATTAATTTGTGTTTAAGCAACGATGGAGTCTCCCAAAGTTTGTTTACAGACTTTGAACAAATTATTGTAAATCGATCACAAATTTAGTTAATACCTATATCATTTTTGAAAGGAACTATCTCCAAATGCGTAGGTTTTGAAGACATGTTTGAATCTGCAGAGAAGCAAACGCTAAGTAAATTTGGAAAGGGCAACATTATTCACTTATAAAGGGCGATTTGTCTAATTTGCATGCAAATAAGTATCTCCACCAAATCTGTGCATAGTGCCTTTTTGCAAACTTCATATTAATTAAATTTATTTCGATTGACACTAATTTGGTCAAAATCTGCGACCATACGTTGGGAGACCTCCGTTGTAAGTTCTCAAAACTAACACATACTGAGGTATTACTTGGTATATGAAGCAAAATGTTTATTTATAATTTTCAGGGCGAACTGACAATAACTTTGGACATGGAAGATTTAGGCAACTCATTATTTCTGGATCAGGTGCCTGCCTCTTGGACAAAATTGGCATATCCGTCCACCTTCGGGCTGGGCTCGTGGTATGCAGATCTCATCCTGCGGGCGCGTGAATTGGAAACATGGGCGATCGATTTCTTCTTACCGCCGGCCGTTTGGCTGGGAGGATTCTTCAACCCGCAATCCTTTCTCACCGCTATTATGCAAAGCACCGCAAGAAAGCAGGAGCTGCCTTTGGATAAGATGTGTCTTCAGTGCGAAGTGACGAAGAAAACCAGGGAGGAATTCACGTAATGCATTCTACTTATTTAAATTCCATTATAAAAAAGATGCAAAATGGTCTCGGAATATATTTAAAGCAAGGAAGCGGAAAAAATCGAGTTTTTTTAATGCCATTAAAAAAATTGTGTTAGAGTGATTTTTTTAGTTCGGTGGGATGTCTTTACAGAGTTTCGCTTGACAAAAACCACATTGGACGGGATGCCGGTCAAAAGACCACAGAATAAATGGTCAGTGTCCAAAGGTGTCTTAAAATGTCCAAAAAGGAGATATAGAGATGGAGCGTTAAGTTGCCCCATTTCCCACTTTTGGATATTTCCACCAGTTTTGGACCCTTTCAGATAGCGTCCTGTCCGAAAAGGTTTTGGATAGGAAAAGCGAATCACTGTGTTTAAGTGACGCTCCATTTTTTCTCACTTTGCCCCTCGTTTTGTAGAACATATGGGGAATTCGAGACTCTTTTATCAAATAATAAAAAATGCTAACTACTTAGTATCTCTATGTCTTCAACTGTTCGTGTTATCCTGTTTTTCAGCGCTGCTCCTCGCGAAGGTGCCAACGTGCACGGACTTTTCATGGAGGGTGGCCGCTGGGATGTTATGACGGGATCTGTGGCAGAATCTAAACTCAAAGAATTGTATCCCTCCCTGCCTGTCGTCTATTTAAAAGCGATAACTCAGGACAAGGCCGACGCCAGGAACATGTTCGAGTGTCCCTTGTACAAGACGAGGATGCGAGGCCCCACATACGTTTGGACGTTCAATCTGCGCAGCCGCGAGAAAGCGTCGCGCTGGGTGCTAGGTGGCGTTGCTCTGTTGTTGCAAGTGTAAAATAAATCTTGTTGACTCAAGTCCAGATTTATGAGTAGTATTTCAATGTATATTTACACCTCGGGAAGAATACTTCTTAGGAGATAATTTAATTGCATCTGTAGATATGCATACTGAGTTTAGAATAAAAATATAAATTATGAAGGTACAAAATCATGTATCCATTTATTCACATATCCTCATTTACACAACGCTTTGCCCCTTACTGCTGATGTGATGATGAGTAAATCAGTCTGCGTGAGAAATGATGTCGTCAATGAAAATAATTTCAAGGCTACGAATGAATTTGTACAAAATTGTTCAGTTCGATACCCGATATACATATTAATATCATCCACAAGGATCCACTAAAACACGGAACTGTATATGCAATACCATTTGCAATTCATTGAACTTCAGACATGAATTAATAAAGAGTTTTAAGTTCTCGATATTATGAAAATTAGAAAGAAAAATTAGACAAATTAGAAATATTATGAAAGAGTATGAAAAACTGCAGACGAAAAGTACCGTCATAGGCAGAAGGATCATGGGAATGGTTTAGTTCACACCACATTATGTTAGAATTATAAAGAATATTGCTTACTAACAAAGATTCTAATTTTGATATCGAAGTTGCATTAATCATTGAAATTAGTAATTTGAAATTTAATATATGACAAAAAACAATGTACTGCAAAACTAAAAATAATATACAATGAGCGAATTATTGTAAATTAAAGAATTATTACACCCCAACTTAGGGGTCACAAGTACAACTATAGGACAAGAAATATTTTTCTTATAAATACCGAATACAATTACATTTATTCAACTTGACCGTTTGCAATCTTTGTCGTTGTGCATTCTGCATCTTGCCACTGATTTGCAGTTAGTGGCTTGGACACAGTAAAATTTTCCCCATTCGCGAGCTGAATCATCTGCACAATCAAATTGCAAGATTGCTTCAGGTTGACCGTCAACGCATCTGTACGTCGCATCCTTCCTTTGAACAAATTCCTTCTTCTTTCGGATTCAATCCATGTCCACAAAGTGCATAGTTGGAGCCTTTGGTGTTAAGACTGGCTGGACATAAACAACTGTGTACTTGTCTCCCAAGTTGAGTGCTGATAATGCGTGCAGGTCATCCTTAGATAGAAGTTTTAGCTTCACATGACTATAATTCTTATTCCCATATGCATGGCTGCACAATAGAGCAAGAGAAAAAATGGCATTTTGTACCCTGCATAGAAATACATAAATACCGTTATATACAAAATCTAAAGTTTCTTAATGTGATGTATTTCAATTCTGTAATTTTTTTAAAACTAAATCAGTAGTCAGATGCATATGTATATATTCCCATGTTATATGCTCGATACGAAGGATCGCATGAAAATAGCATTACTATGTATTGAGTTGGCTTTACGACATGAAAGCATGTTCAAATGCTAAATTGGAACACTACAGACTTACCAAGATTTCGTCCTAAAAAATTGAGGGTAATTTATTCTTTCGAATCAGGAAATTGCTGGGTGAAAATTGTAAAATAACTTTATGCAGAAAGAATTTTATCCTTGACGGGATCAAATGAATGTATTTTCCAGTTACAATAAGTGCTTTAATGCAGGAAATGGTAGGCAATAAAACTTAATATTTGACACTGTTCCATAGATTGTTCTATGCACGTCGTGCTGAGAGTTTGATTCGTGGCTTCTTGCCAAGTTATTGGACAGCTATGTAAAAAAATGCACGGACTGGTTTCCATGATTTACACCATATAAAAACGATTAAATATGGTTAAATTGTGTCATGTACGGAATACTTTTCCCGTTTTATTAACTACACTAACCAATACGGCAAAAATGGTGCCGTGTTTATTGGGGTGGTATAATGTGCTGAGAAAGAATACTCTATAGCTAGAAAACTAATGTACATATGTAGGTATGTAAAAACAAATACGGATGAAAATATTTTGAAACGAAACGAATCCTACCAGCCTGGTTATGATCCTGCCCTGAAAAAAATGAGTAAACAAATATTTGTTAAGAGTAACGAAATATCATTAAATTTAGTATTTTACTAACAGTATGCAAGTTAGTTCGTTCCGTGATTTACAATCTGCTGCTTTTGCTGTTATGCACTTAGCTTCCCCGCAGTGATGTTTTTGTCTGGCTCGAGTTGAAAATTCTTCGCAGTCCAACTCCATTATTGCTCCGAGTTGTCCATTAACGCATCTGTATGCCGCATCATTCAAACAAGTCCCGCCTTGTTTTGGGCGCAAGTCTGGTCCACAAAACATGTAGTAGGACCCCGTAGTATTGAGGGTTTTAGGACACATGCAGCCAGTGTAACTTTCCGGATTTTCAGTTGTTTGGGGTTTTGATTTCCTCTCTAGAGTTTTCTTATCAAGTGGCTTAATTTTCACGTTACTGAAATCCTTATCGCCATGCACGCAATCGGTAATTAGTGCTAAGATGATGACGAGACTCATCCGCGGGACCATTCTCCGTCTTACAAATATATGTAATGTAAAATCGTAGTCATTCACAGGGATTAAATGCAGATATTTCGTCTAATTTGATCAAATTAGACCAGTAAATTTAATAATGTTTTTGTTACCAGCGAAAACACTGTCGCACAAGAAAAGTTTTCTAATTTGATAAATTATTAGGCAACTGAAAATTTGGTAGATATATTTTTCTGGTAAATAGATAGTTAAGAAAAACTGCTTCAAATAGGTTGAAGATTTCACAAGCCTTATTGAGAAAAAATTTTGAACAGCTAAACAAGATGCAGGAAATCATAAGCTGTGAAAACAATTAATATTCCATTGTTTCTTATTGTTCCTGATCGTGGTGACGTTTGCGTATTTGCTCCGGATTTGTTATATTTATTGCTAACAATGCAAGTCTTTTACGTGTACAACTCAGATCAGGTTGGGACCAATTTTATTTTGTTCACCACAAAAAATAAGCCTCCCTGTATTTTTTCATTTTTCATAATGCGCTAATTTGAGCACGAGGCGCGAATTTTAAAACTTTTTTCAGCCAAAACCTCGGTTTTTAAAAATTCTCTAAATTTTCGAATTTTAGCGCGAATCCAAAAATTCGAAAACATGTCTCTTCAGAATGACTTACTTGACTTGTAAAAAATCCACATGCATTATTTTTTGAAAATTTGAAAATTTGAAAGAGCTTATAATTTTAATGAATTTCAAAAACTGGCAAAAAATTTTGAAAATCAAATTTCGAGACAATTGGATTTTTCATAAGTCATGTAACTCATTCTGAAGAGACATGTTTTCGAATTTTTGGATTCGGGCTAAAATTCGAAAATTTACAGAATTTTTAAAAACCTAGGTTTTGGCTGAAAAATGTTTTAAAATTCGCTCCCCGCGCTCACATTAGCGCATTATGAAAAATGAAAAAATACGGGTATGCTTATTTTTTGTGGTGAACAAAATAAAATTGGTCCCAACCTGATCTGAGTTGTACACGTAAAAGACTTGCATTGTAAGTGTTGATACATGCATGTTCATATATATATTTGATATACTTATCGTAGGTATTGTTACGTATATATACAAAAGACTTATAATAGGTGAACTGCAAAATTGTCCGACGAAACGAGGCTTCTAACTATACTTAAGTATAATTTAACGCATACATATGTATACGAATATGTACTCATAATTTTATCTACGTACATATGTATGTATAAATGTATGTACCTACATCGATAATACATAATAGATAGTAGATTTACATATTACATAGTATAAATATAGCAGATTTTAATATCTTGGACAATAAAATTACCATGATACCAAAATTTCTCAAAACTTTTTCTTTGGTTTTTTGTGGAAAACTCTATGGTCAAAGTTGAACATTTTCTTCTCAAATTCTGGAGTTTTCCCAATGTTAAACAGTGATTTTATTTGTATTTTTCATAAACAAACTCAAAAATATGAAACTGATTGAATTATGTGTTTGTTGTACATGACAATTTGAATTTAAATGCGCATTGTAAATACCCAAAGGAAATTTTATTAAAAAATAAAAACTAGCAAAGAGGTTAAATATGTATCTGAGATACTCTATTCTCGTTACGATAACGATCTTTATTGATTATTACTTGCGTATTTTTAACTCCCACATGCCAATAGCAGAAAATAACTTTCTAAAACCAATATTAATAAGAATTATGCATTAAAATATCATCCTATTAAGATCTCATTAAGTTCTGGTAGTTCAGTTGGTACTTTTTGGAAAACCATCCACATTATTTGGCGGTCCTCTTTACAATACTAAACCGAGCTAAAATTCAGTATTTAAATTATTATTCCAGTAATATTGGTCAACAGTACGATAGTTGGTACGATATAAAATATGGAAACAACCTTGTTGTAAGAGGTTACGCGCCAACCCTGTAACAAAAAGAAATATTTTCCTTCAAATAAGTAATGACTACATTTAAATTTTATACTTCACTAACGGTAAGCATGCTTTTGTTTTTTGTAATTTGCACTCTGGTTCACAAGACTCGTTGTCCGCACAGCGAAGTTTTTTCCCCTGCCGAATTGATTCATCTGGGCAGTCAAACACCAATATGGCTTCAGCGTGCCCATCAGTGCAACGATATCCACCTTCCTCTACGCAGGTACCGCCTACTTTTGGCTTCAATTCATGTCCACAGAGCCCATAGAAGGAACCCTTTGTGTTAAGACTGGGCGGACACATGCAGCCTGTGTACCTCTCGTTTGTATTAGGCTGCAATTTCGAATATCTGTCCAGGAATTTCTGAGGCTGTGTTTTTAACTTGACTTTACTATAGTCCATGGTCCCACATGTGTACTTTGCAATCGTTGCAATGATAAGTAATCGAACCAAATACTCCATCTTTTTCTCTAGACAGATATAATTTGCGGTTATTTTCCATGATGCAGGTTATCTTACAATACTTAAAAGTGAGAATTATACATACGACTCAACAAAAGCTTGAATTTCAATAGTAATATCAACATACACATGTTGATGCTCTCCATGTGGTAATAATAAGATTTGAGTAAAAATCAACACCTCTAACAATGTAGACTAAGGAAATTATCGCAGATTTTGACCGGACTAATCTTAAATTGTTCAAGACCAGAAATAAG